TGGTGGTGACAGAAGGTGAGAGTCTAAACCAGAACATTGGCCACCAGAAGGGGAGTAACTGGCAGAGCACAAAGCCTTGGAGAGCGGCCCTGCCACAGAGAGGGGCCGCTCGAACCAGTGAGAACTGGGGACACTCAAAGTCTTTGCATAGGTGTATGTCTGTGCTTCAGGCTCACCACACTGGTACAATTATACCAAATACATGTGCATATGTTTTCATTTTGGGAAGGGAGAGATGATGGCTTTGGGAACATTTCATCTGCAGAATTTATCAAACAACACTGTCAACTATGTGCTCAAGCAAGTCAAGCTGTTAAATATCAGGTAAAACAAAGGATGTGTGACCTGACTTGCCCATAAGAGATGCCAGCATGTTGCACCTTCTTGTGACTATCACCCAGCAATGACACTCAGATCAAAGGATCCCAGATGCATGCAGCCCCTCAGAACTCAGAAGCGTACTGGTCGAATTTAATCACTTGCATGGAGCTGATGTTAAACAAGTCCTTAACGCTTGGTCGCACCATTATTGGTAGGGTCTTTAAAATTGTTTTTCAGTACTGGGGATGGAATTGAGGGCTTCATGCATGCTAGGCAAATGCTCTACCATTGAATACATCCTCAGACCTGAAATGGCCTTTCCTGAACAACATAGATCAACTGAGAAGAAAAACAAGGAGTTCGTGTCTCAGGAGAGCTGCAGTCTTGTTACTTACAGCAGGTCCCTGCCCTACCTTGCACTCAGGAGCCTCATGAGGCAAGCCAAGCAGCTAGCCACTGCCAGTGGTCAGAGAAAGCTCCAGAAGGGAAAGGCAGGAGGTCAGGTCTGGGGTCCTGCTGTGAGCTGGTTTTGCCCAGCACAGCTCTGAACTGCAAGGTGACCACAGCTCTCTGCTGATTGGCAACAGGCAGGTGGCTCATGACACACCCAGGTGACACATGGTGCCTCTGTGACTATACCAGCTGTCCCTAAAGACCTTCCCAGTCTACTACCAAGTGTCTAGGGAATGCAGAAGCCTCCAGTGAGCCACAGAGAGCTGTGGCAAGTGGGAGATGGGGACCAGCCTGGCCCTCAGCTCTGAATTTCTGCCTGTCTAAGATGATGGGTAATGGTCAGGCAGGGGACAGTTATGTCACTGCATGCTGAGTGAAGCACTAAGAACAGCACTCAGTCAACCAGAGCCAGTGTTCAGATCTCCGCCACCCTATGTCCCCAGCCAGTCTGCAGCAGGGAGAGCTCAGCAGGGGAGGAGGCTTCCCTCAACCTGGACCCCAGAAGTCTGCTCTTCCCGTGTGGGAGTGCTGGCCAAGCCCCTACGCGGTTTCAGTTTTGCTTCCTGTGAGGGGAGGCAATTCTAGAACTTACTGGTTGTACAACGTACTGATTATGGAACTTATAGGAAACAGGTGATGATCAGCAAGGAGACAGGACACTGGTGGCCCTGGATCAGGAAGCAGCAAGATATATTGCTGCACCCAGGGACTGAGAGACATGGGTGGTGGGTGATTCTAGGCTGACAACCACCATGGAAGACAGGCCACCTGAGCAGCCTGGCCAAGAAAGAGCTTAATCCCCATGCCTGGCCCTTCCCCAGGAGGACACAGGCTGTGCCAGGAGACACATGGTGGCTCCCTGGAAGGTATGTGGAGGAGACACCACTACTGTGGTGGCGAGATGTCTGAGCAGGAAAGGTGCTGGGCACTCAGCCTGAAGCACCCTTAGAATTTGGCTGCTGTCTCTCCTAGCTCTCAGGCCCAAGTCAGAGAACTTCACAGTCAGGGTGGGGATCGGAGAAGTTCAGGGAGGTCACCTAGTATGACCCTCAGCTCCATGAGAGTTGTGCGTGGTCTCATGGAGAAGCACACTGCTCAGCATAGCCTCTTTCCTCCCCCGGGGAAGGAGGAACCAGGAAACGTTTCTCTGCCACCAACCACCAACATTCCCGGGGTCATCTCAGGGAAGGGAGGGCCTGCGGGGGTGGCACCTCTTTATCCCTCTCAGTGCCCTGCCACAAAACGGCTCCAATAGCCAGATGAGGACACGTGTACCCCAGAGGCTGCTGTCAGGGCTTATGGGCCTTCATTTTAAAAGCATTCCATGGCCAAACTCCCTCCTGGCCTTAGCTCGGCCTCAGCTCGGCCACTGGTTTTTGCATTCTAAGCATCTCCTAGAAAGCTGGTAAAGAATGGTGATCTCAAGGCCTTGCCTTCAAATGTCCTAATTCCCTGGATCTGGGATGGGGTCCAGGGACCTGAATTTTAACGAACTACGACTCTGTCATGCAAGGTCTTAGAACACTGACTGGAAGATGCTGAATTAGGGCCAGCACCAGCGCCACAGCCCAGATGCCCTCTCTGAGTCCCCACCCGTGGCCAGTATGAGTTCACCCTGATGCTTCCTGTGCTGCAAGCTTGTGTTTCCACCTGGAAGCTCTTCCTGGCCAGCCCTTGGTCTCGGGCTTTTGCTCATTACTGAGCTCTTTGCTGCAGCCCTCAACACACGAGTGTGCAAGCCTGCTGCACGTCACCTGAGTGGCTGGAAAGTAGGCCATTGCTCTTGACTGAGCAGATCCCACCCTCCCTGGCTACTGCCTCCTCCTGCCACTTTCCCCCACCATGCCCAGGCCTCAGCACCCACCCCATCTCTGGCCAGAGGGTGTTTTGAGCTCTGGGGCAGAGTGAACATGAGAGGCTCTGGGAGGGAAGGGGGTACCAGGACCTCAGTTCAGGAAGAGGACAGGCTCTGGGTGGGTGGGTCAGACACATCAATGGGGGCCCGTCCTGAGGAACAGCTGGGTGCCAGGCAGAGAGCCAGGGGCCATCCTGAGTCCTCTGAGAGGTCAGGCCCCTCACTCAGCATTGGTCCTCTGGACCCACTACCGCCTCCTTGACCTCACAGGAAAGCGGCCCTGATGGGGAGGTGGCAAGCCGCCACGCCATGCCAAGCCACCCCATGTTCGGCCCTCCCCATCTGGCATACCTAGCTGTCTCTCTGTCTCCCTCTGTCTTCCTTCTCCCTCCCGCTGTCCTTGTCTCACTTGCCCCTCTGTCCCTCGTTTTGATTCACCTCCTCTTTCACTGTTTCCCTTCTCTCTTTCCTTCTCTGGTTCTGTCCCCCTTTGTCTCTTCATCTTCTTGTTCTCTACCTGGCCCCCAACACCACTGGCCCTGGCTCTGAGCCCTGTGCCACGTGGCCCACTGGATCCCTCCCCCAGGCAGCTTCTGTGTGATTGCCTGGACTCTGGGCCCTGCAGATGTGGGCCTTGTAACAACCCTGAATCTCATGTTCCAGCTAAGGTACATGTGCTGTGGACATAACAAGGGCCCCTGGGAAATCAGTGTGGCCTTTCACCTGGCTGGACCTGGGGCTGTGCCAGCAGTGTCCATGTCGATGCACAGGTGCGGGTGTTGTCCGTTCTCACACTTTGGCAAAGCTCCTGGCCCCCTCTTAGCCCATCGCCTCACCCACTCCCACCCAGGCAGGTCAGCCTGACAGGAGCAAGGCTCACTGGATCCCAGAGGGAGGGTGAGCTTGTGACGCAAGGGGCTGTGGTCTTGCCCTAGAGCAGGGAGGAGGAAAGAGGAAGGGCGGCAGCTCCCTCTCAGCCTCCCCTCTCTCTCTGGAATCCCTTGGTGATGCTCTCTTCTACTTCCCCCAGCAGAAGGTGGGGAGGGCAGAGTTCACAGACCCCTGCACTGACCACCCCTGCTGTCTCCTGACTGCTGATGAGTCAGATCTCTGAGACCACGGAGCGCGCTTCACCCCACACACAGCCACTCTGCAGATGACTTCCGAGCCAGCAGGGGCAGTGCTGGGCTCTGGGCTGCTGTGGAGGGCAAGGTGGATGTGAGCAGGTGACTAGTGCCCAGGGCTGTGAGCCTGCATCAGAGTCTGCCAGGGGCAGGAGGCAGCACAGCACAGTGGGCAGCCAGGGGCAGCTGCACAGGACCCGCAGGTAGGAGACCGAGATGAGGTGGGGCACAAAGCAGAGAAGGCGGCTCTGAGGGCCGCTGGCTTGCAGTCACACTGCTCTGTTCTCTGCCTTCACCAAGGGGAAGGATGATGCTCAGCGAGGAGGTCCGAGGCTTGCCCTGGAGCACTGGCGGGGCGTCCGTGCACTTCTTCCTCCTCTCACGCTCTACAAAGAAACTCCGAGCAAACCTGCTGAGGGTAGAGGTGACATTCAGGGGCAGAAAGCCCTTCAGGAGCAGGGACTCCAACATCCTCCCTGTTCAGAGCAAACTGAGGCTCTAAAAGGTGCTCCAGGAGCCAAAGTCCAAGGCTAGCAGTAGGGCCAGAACAGGAATATGGCCACACTGTCCTCGCCTGTATTAAAGCAGAGCTGCTGTTACTCTTCGGAGGCCCAGCCTCCAAGCAGGGGCTGGTGGGGGAAGGGCTGGGCCATGTCTGAAGGCTGAGCTTAAGACGGCCTTTGACTCTTTCCCAGGTCACTAAGGTAAAGGGATAACTGGGCAGACATCAGTTACCTGGAGACCTTACAGGAAAATGACAAACCAAGGAGAAAAACAGGCTCCCCGACCCCTAGGTTCCACTGATCCTCCTGCCTCAGCCTCCTGAGTAGTGCAACTGCAGGAAAGCATGACCACACTCTGCACTCATTCCATTTTAAAGCTTTCTTTGATCCTGAAATAATCCGAGGCTGAATAGAAAGAAATTGGGATGTGGAGTAGGAAGCTCTGAGCTCGGCCTCCCTGGATCTTTGGCCTCAGTTACCAGTTCTGGGCCTTAGGTCTTCGGCTGTGAAATGAAGAAAACAGGCCCTGTCACATTGGAGCAGAAAAAATAGGAGAAAGCTAAAAAAGGTGTCCTCTTGGGTCAGTCGGGGGGACCCTGAGGTGGGAACAGGCCCGGGAGACCCTGCCTGCCCTGCCTTGGCTATTGGCGGGGTCCAAGTCTCCACCCCGCCACCTCACCCTTCAACCCAGGCAGAGCTGAGGGCCTGGCCCCTTCTCACGACCCTTCCCTGGCCTACCCTCAGCTGTGTGGTGGACGAGATGGACTTCTCCAGCATGGAGCTGGACGAGGCCCTGCGGAAGTTCCAGGCGCACATCCGCGTGCAGGGGGAGGCCCAGAAGGTGGAGCGGCTCATAGAGGCCTTCAGGTGAGCTGCTTTCCCAGCCCCACTCCCCTCCCCACCCCTGCAGACACCCTGAGCTTGGACAGATGATGGGGAAGCAGAGGGGATGTCAGTTAGGAGAGAAATGCTCAGGTCAGTTGAGAGCGCTGAGGAGGTTAATACCAGTGGGCTGGAGAGAAGGAGGCCAGGAAAGAGGAGCAGCATCCCCCAAGCTCTAAGAGCTGGAGGGCACACGGAGCCCTCCAGGAGATGCTCCTCACTCATGTGCTCCAGCCAGTACATCCCTATGGAGCATCCGTGTGAGGCTGGTAGGGGGCGCCACTACGGGAACTGAGAGAGGTGACGCCAAGGTACAAGGCAGACATTATTGGGGTCTGAGAAGCTCATGGTCCCCTCTGTGTCCCCCACAGCCAGCGCTACTGCATGTGCAACCCCGAGGTGGTGCAGCAGTTCCACAATCCTGACACCATCTTCATCCTGGCTTTTGCTATCATCCTCCTCAACACGGACATGTACAGCCCCAACATTAAGCCTGACAGGAAGATGATGCTCGAGGACTTTATCCGAAACCTGCGAGGTGAGCAGGCGGGGCTCGGCCGCTTCTCAGGGCCTGTCCCGCTTCATGTGAAGTCTGTGGGTCTGAGCCCCAGGCCTAGCCTTCCACCGTAGGCTGGGAAATTGGCTTGTTCCCCAGGCATCATGGGGGTCTCTGGTACCCACGCTCCGCTCTGCAGGGGCCCTGGGGCAGTACAGGTAGGCCCCTGTGTGGTCTCAGCCCTCAGCACCGGAGCTGGTGCTGGGCAGGACCAGCCCTTTCCCCTCCACTAGTCACAAAGGCCTTCACACCTGACTCAGCCTGTTTAACGCAGCCTCGCAGGGAACCGAACGGCATTTGCCTGCCAAGTCCTTTCCTGATGGAAATGGCACCACCTGCGAGGGGCCAAAGATTTTTTAAAAAACAAGTGTTATTTATGCTGGTGATACATTTTTGGCATTTTTTTAAAAATCAAAGTTTTATATATACACGTAACTTAATAAAATAGTTCTACCACGCTTACCACAGAAAATCAGTCCCTGCCTCTCTCAAACTCTCCCAGAGGTGAACGTTTTCTACTTGTAGAGTGGTTTATTTTTGTATTTATATATTTTTGCAGTGCTGGAAGGTGCTTACTCTGAGCTTTATACATGCTAGATAAATATTTGAAACATATTACTAAGTTTTTCATTCCTGCTTTTTTTTTTAAACTTTATGTTTCACTTCTAATAGCTCTGGTTTTTTGTTCTCTAAATGTCCTTTTATAGCACTTTATTCTTGTTTGTAGACATGACATCTTCTCATATCTCGTTGAAGATATAATATGGTCTTATTTGTCTTAGCTCCTCCCTGCCTGCCTCCATTTCCTCTGGGGTTCTTTCTTCTGTTTTCCCCTATTTCTTTCTCTTTGGTGTTACAGGCTTTCCATATTCAAGAGCCCCTGAAAAGGTGATCAGAACCTCAGTGGACATTGTGAGGGCTGCTGCCTGTGACCTTTCTCCCAGGGAGATTTAACTGAGCTGTGTCATGGGGTGATCCCTACTCAGAATCTTTAGATATTTCTCTCAAGGTGATTGATTACCCACAAACACGAAGGTCTGTTCTGTTGCCCAGAGGGTACAATTCCAGCTACTATTGTGCCGAGGTCTTTTACAGATATCAACCTCATCCCCCCATTTTCAGGGCAGATTCCCACCACTGGCTGGGACTGGGGTTCCCCAGTTCCAAGCTCATGGCTCATCCTTTCCAGAAAATGAACCACCAGACTCCTGCTGGAGAGAGGAGGGAACAGGGAAGCCTAAAGGGTGTTCACTGATTTCCAGCCTGCTTTCTACCTCTAGCCCACTCTCCTTCCCCCGCAGGGGCTCCTGTTACTCCCAGTTCTGAGCCCTTGGTGGGTGTCAGTGGCTTCTAAGCTCCCGTTGGCTCTCATGTCAGCTTTGCTAACCTGTCCAATCAGGTATCCGCCTTCCAGGCCCCGGGGTTGAGTAGGGAGGACCGTCCCTTCCTCTGTTCTCTGTCTTTGTGGGTTTATTCCTTTTGGAAAAGTTCCTTTTCACCAGGTATTCTAAAAGACCAGAGGAAAGCTAGCGGACTGGAAACCTGTGTGTGGTCCATCTTTCTTCCTGCTCTTTCTTGCCTACAGCCTGATTTCTTTCAGGCCCTCGGGGTACTGCAGGGCTCATTTGCCTGACCAAAATCCAAGATAACAAATGGAAGAAAGAGGGACCAGAGAAATTGCTATGGAAGACATGATGTGCTCTCAGTGGTTGAGACAACCAAGGGGAGCTCAAAGTGGTTATGTTTTACATTTTTCCCTCTTATAAAAGAAGTGTGCACATATTAAAGATTTGGAAAAAGTAGAGAAAAGAATTGTTTTAGCTGCCTCTGTTTCTACACCAAAGGAAATTTGCTTTCATGTTGGCATACTTCCCACTAGTACAGTTTGGTTGCTGGAACATTGGATTGTAGGGGAGTAGGCGCGGGGTGGGGGGCGATTACCTGCATCACCGCAGGCCCCAAGCCGCTCCCTCTGCCTCCGGTGCAGCCCTAGCCCAACACTCTCATTGCGGGGACAATCTTGTCACCCATCCCACAAGGACTCCCTCAAGACAGAACTCCTTACTGGAGGAGAGTTGAGGGCCAAGAAAGGAGATCTCAAAGGGAACAAGTCAGGTCTCTGGAGAGCTGCTCACACAGTGGGGCCAGCACAAGTCAGGACAAACACGGAGGGCAGCAGAGCCTGGGAAACAGGTACTCACAGGAGCGCAGAGCCCACGTGTGGCCATCAGGAAAGAGCACTGCAGTCAGGAGGTTCTGGTTGAGACACATCAGCTGATGAGGCTGGAGAAGGGTGGTACTTGTGGTGCCTGGTGAAGACGTGTGTCCTTACTCTAATGGGTGTGGGAAACCAGCCACTGAGAGCTTTGGTCAGAAACACGGTAGAATTGCAGCCTCCTCCCAGAGCATCTGCCCGGCAGTCTTGTTGCTCTGACCCTCCACACACACCTCTGCTTCTGCGTTTGTAGGTGTGGATGACGGTGCTGACATCCCCAGGGAGCTGGTAGTAGGCATCTATGAAAGGATACAACAGAAGGAGCTCAAGTCCAATGAGGACCACGTCACATATGTCACCAAGGTGGAAAAGTCCATTGTGGGCATGAAGACAGTAAGTGTCTGCCACCGAGCAGCGCTTGCCGTGTGAGCTTACCGAGCCACCCCCATCTCCTATTCTTTTTTTCCGCCATCTCCTTCTTTTCCAAACCTCCGATACTGTGCCCCAGACCCTCTGCTCCTGCCTTTTCCCTTGCCTAGAACCCTCACCGCCTCTGCACCAGCTGTGCAGTGAAGGGCATGGGGAGCTGTCAAGAAGTACTGGTCAGTGGGCTAGGGTCGAAGCCACTGGATGGCCAGCTGGAAGTTCAGGGTCTGCTCCCTAGCTGGGGTACTGCTAGATACTTCCTGTGAACAGAGAGCAGGAAATGGGCTCAAGTAGGCTGTGGTATCGCAAACCAAGAAGGTGTACTAGCGTTGTGACCTGTGTCACACACAGCGTGTGCTAAGTATGTAATAACTTTTAAAGCCAGCGTCCTCCGTAGCTTACTGCACTGCTCGTGTCCCCAGAAATGATTTATACCACCAATGCGAAGGATGTGGAGCAGCTTCTGGTCCCCTGGCTGCGTGGCTGGCCCAGGGAGTACGTGGGTGCAGAGCTGGGGGCCTGGTCTGAGGCTGTGCCTGGCCTTCCTCTCCCCGTCAGTGCCAGGCAGACATTTCCTGTGGTACAACCTTTCCGGCCAGCCCCATCTGCCCAGTTTGCTTTTCTTACGCGCTGAAGTCGATTTTCAGTGCCCGTGGGCTCCCCTTGCTCTTGCATACTTGCATTTGGTGTGCAGTAAAGAAAGTGACTGTCGCCCGTGACCTGGGGTGCCTCAGGGTCACAGAGGAGAAAGCTTACAGTATCTGGATTTGGACCATCTGAAAGCCTTTGTGCAATTTCCTTTTCTTGCCCCCCAATCACCTGCTTTGTTTATAACATAATAACTGCTTCTCTTCTGGCTCTGCTCCCCAAAAAGCATGATGAAAGGGAAAGAGCCCTAGACAAGGAGAAGGGAAGTTTGTGGCAGGGCAGGCCTGTACAGAAGCAGGCCCCACTCTTCTCCTGGGCCTCTGCGTCCTCCCCTGGGCAGGACATGGCCTGGAGGTCTCTAAGCACCTCGCCTGGGTTCTAGGTGCTGTCGGTGCCGCACCGCCGCTTGGTCTGCTGCAGCCGGCTCTTCGAGGTGACAGACGTGAACAAGCTGCAGAAGCAGGCTGCACATCAGAGGGAGGTGTTCCTCTTCAACGACCTGCTGGTGGTGAGCAGTGACACCGAGGCCTGGGGTGGGCTGGGCGGGGCCAGGTCCTCCGCTGCCCAGAACCCCCACCTATTCGGCCCGGGCAGCAGGGCAGGGAAGCCTGCTGCGCAAATCTCTGGAGGCTCCCCACAGTGGGCCTCAGGCTTCCAGACTCGGCACTGTCTGCAGAGAGACTAGGCCACTTGTCCATGGTGGGTGTGAGGTAGCTCAGCAGATTCCTGCCATCTCTTGGGCCTTTTTCTGGCAACTGCTTCACCTAAAAAGCTCCCCTGGGCCTTAGCATGGCCACCTCCCTGCTTCATGCAAGCCTCAATCCCATTGGCGCCTCTCAGGAAAGCCCTCCTGCCCACAAGGCAAGGCGTCCTGCCGTCAGCTGCTGCTCCTCACCCTATTTCTTTTCCTTCAATACACTCGCAAGTGTCTGGAATTCCCTTACTCACCCTTCCTTTCTCTCTTACTGTTGGGCTCCACTGATTGAGCATTCACTATCTGCCCCGCGTCGCATGAGCACCTTGAGAGCAGGGGCCCAGCGCCCAGGCTCTCCTCTATCCTTAGAGCGCAGCCCATGGGTGGGGCTGAAGGAAGTATTTCCAGATTGAGCAACTGGCTGACCAAGCGTTTATTTTCACAGGGGTGGGAGCTAATAAATACTTAAGAAAACAAGTCAACAAGATAATACCAGATGGTGGAAACTGCCATAAGGACAGTAAAATAGGGTGATAGGAGAGAGTGACTTGGTTTGCTTTTGATTTGTGCTTTTTTAGATGAGGTGGTATAGGAAGGCATCTCTAACTAAGGAAGTAGGTTTGATTTAAGATCAAAGTAATGAGAATAATCCAGCCATACAAAAACTGCAGAGAGTGCTGGAGAAAGGGGCGGTGTGTGCAAAGGGCCTGTGGTGGAACTGATCTGGCCCTTTTCAAGCTACAGAAAGGAGGACAGTATGACTGACTACTATAAGGCCAGATCTGGTATGTGGCTGGCAAGCCAGGGCAGGAAGTGAGTACTGGCTCCTCAGTGCAAGGTGTTTGTCACAGGTGGGCTTTAAACCTCCAAAAACACATGTGTATGTGTATACGTGCATATGCGTGCATCTGTAAATGTACGTGTATAAGTATATCTGAAATGCCTGTGTGTACATGTGTGTGTTACCCTTGTGCACTGACCTGTGTGTTCACACATGTCCTTGGGTGTTCGTGCAAGTGGGCGCGTGCACATTCACTAGAGTCTCCCCAGTCAGTGCATGTTTTTGTCCCTCTTGAGTAGATCCTCAAACTGTGCCCAAAGAAGAAGAGCGCTTCCACGTATACATTCTGCAAGTCGGTCGGCCTGCTGGGCATGCAGTTCCACCTCTTTGAGAATGAGTGTAAGTCCCGAGCAGTGAATGACCAGAGGGGCCGTGAGGAAGTTGAGGGGGAGCTGGGCGTGGGGGTAGGCGCCCCTGAGACGCTGCCCCTCCCCCACTGCTGCTCACAGTCTGTCTGGGGCTGGGGCTGATTCCAGACTACTCTCACGGCATCACACTGGTGACCCCACTGTCGGGTTTGGAGAAGAAGCAGGTGTTGCACTTCTGTGCCCTGGGCTCGGACGAGATGCAGAAGTTCGTGGAAGACTTGAAGGAGTCCATCGCTGAGGTGACGGAGCTGGAACAGATCCGGATAGAGTGTAAGGATGCCGGGGCCGGGCTCTCTGAGACAGTGGGCAGGGGCAGTTTGCAAACAGGCAATTTGGATTCTAGGACCATCACCCATTCCTCCCCTGCCCTGCTTGGATCTGCCTCCCCTGCCCACCTGCTCCTCCCAGCACCACAGCACTATCATGAGTGACGTGGGCATTTTCACCATCGGAGTAGGAGTCCTAGAGTGGGCACACGCGTGTACACATCCCTTCAGGCACAGGCATGCACGTGGGCACTTGTACAAAGACCTCTGCCATGTTGAACGGCAAACAGGCTACGAACCCAACAAGTCCATGAGCTCATGGACTTTTTCCTCCTCTAAACTGTTTTATTCTATAGTTGTTACCTCCTTTGTCCAAGTCCAAGTGCACACAGGGCATCTGGTTACTCTCATTTCTCCAGTCTCTTTTAATCTAGAGTGGTCCATGATCCCTCCACTTACTTTCTTTATGTAATTTTCTGTTTGAAAAATCCAGGCTGGTTTCCCTACCATCGTTCATCTTAGAGTTGTCTTTCAGTTCCTCTCAGGAACACTTGGGTTCTGGATGGTTCCAGCTCAGGCATTTCAGAATCTAAGCGAGTCTCCTCACATGTCTAGGTGATTACCAGTTGCTTTGGGGTTAAGAACTGAGCTTATAAAACTGTGCCCTTCTGCAGGCTTTTAGTGGTTAAGCACTGCAGAGATTTCCTATGGACTTGAAGGGGAAATTACGAGGATGGATTCAGAAACTAAATCAAAATACAAATAGACTCCAGGCTTGACTTTTGCAGCCACTTAATTAAAAGATGTACATTGAGCAATAAGGAAGGTAGTGGGAGACTTTGAGCAGGGGGCAGTAGGACAGGACAGTGCTGTTTAATCATCATTTCGAAGCTCCTGCAGGGGTCGTGCAGTTTATGTCCACCCTGCTAGACCTCGCAGTGACCTTGAGGTAGTTGCATTGACTCCATCCGACAAATGAGGCTCTAGGAAGGGAAGTGGTGAGTCTCGACCACAGCCATGGCCACTCACGCCTAATTCTGGCTCCACTTAAGTGTTTTTTCTGTGTTCCTTCCACTCTGAGCCGGGCAATTTCCTAAGAGAAGTGCTAAAATCAAGACAAAACAGAAGCTTACGAGAGACAACTCAGGGGACAGCTTTGCAGTGAGAAGTTCAGGGTTGGCTCACTGGGGGCAGCGATGTCACATATAGACACTGCTCCAGGGCTGGGCGAAATATCCGGAGAGGCACCTTGGCCATTGTTCTGGAACATCTTCAAGGCTTTGCGTCTCCTGTTGTCAGAGTGTCACAGGTGGCCCCTGCCACCCTGGGAAGGCACTGCACATCTAGCCCCAGCATTGGTGCAGGAGGTACTTTTCTTCCCCCAGCCCTGGGCACACCATAAATCCCTTCCCAAAGTAACAAAGGAGCAAATATTGCCAGAATCTGCTATGTCAAGCGTGGAACCTTCGCTCCTGCTGGCCGAAGGGGAAAGAAACAGTGCACTTAGTTACTTCTTGTGGCTGAGGCGAAATACCCGACATCCACCCACAAGTTAAAGGAAGAACAGTTTATTTCGGCTCGTGGTTTGTAGAGGTTTCAGTCCATAGTTGGCTGGTGCCAAGGCAGAGCAGCAGAACAGAGGGGCATCACAAAGGCCAGAGAGCTCACAGCACGGTGGGCTGGAAGCAGGGAGGGATGTGGGGATATACAGCCTTCTGGGCCACACCCACAGTGACCCCCCCTCTTCCCATCAGGCTTCACCTGCCAACATTACACGCAGCTACAAACCCCAGTGGGCTGATCCTGTTACCTCCCTGTTTTCTTTCTCTGTTGTGATGCTGGGGATCAAACCCAGAATATTGTGCATGCAAGGCAAGAGCTCTACCACTGAGCCACATCCCCAGCCCGAGTCACCATCTCCCAAAACCCCTGCCTATGATCATAGGAGGCTGTGGGAGACACTAGTCATAGGCCATAACACAGGCAAAGGCTAAAGTTTGGATCTTAGTCCTCAAGTAGAGAGGGAAGGAACATCTGGGGGAGACGAAGGACTGGCCAAGAAGCAGGCGGGAGAGGGAGTCAGAAAGTGAGAGAAAACGAAACCACGGCAGTGACTGTATATTGAGTGCTTACTACATGCCAGGCTCTAGGCTGATGGCCAGAGCCATCATTTAATTCCTACAAACTCCCATGGGTTCATATTATTCTCTTTATCTTAAATGTAAAGGAACTGAGGTGTTGTGAGTTCTCACTGCACCATGTCCTCCTGACTCTTTATGTGCAATTAGGACGCAAATTTACCCAAAGCAAACGGGCCCATTGGGAGCAGCTGGCATTCACATTTAAATCTGACTCCATGGTTCGTGTTCTTCCCAATCCAATCCTTGGTTCAATAAAAATAGGTGTGAATAGACTGAATGGTTCTGGTGTGGCAGCTTGTGGAGTAGTGTTCCTGGGTTCCAGACAACCAGAAAGACAGCAAACGGAACCTAGGAGAGTGGCGTGGATTACATCTCCTGGAACCCTGAAGCTAGAGGATTGATTTAGTAACAACTGTCACATAGCTGGCACTGACTGTCAGGTCTCCAAGAAGGGCGGCTGACAGTTTTCTAGCACCACTGCGAGAACACAAAGGTACACAATTCTAACCTAGAGAGAGCATTAGCGTAGGGGACCAAAACATCCAGGTATCCTGACTGTGGGCCATGCATGCTGGCAGACCCAGGGCAGGTGGGACCTCTCAGCAACTATGGCCACTCAGTCCTGCAGGAGGCACATGGGGGACTAGATGTCACCAACTGCAATAAGACCTATATGCCAAGCACTCATTTTCTTTCACAGTGCTGGGGATGCACCCAGAGGCCTCATGCATGCTGGGTAAGTGCTGCACCACTGGGCCACACGCCTAGCCACCAAGTGCCCTTACGTGTCGTCATGTGAGCACTTTCTGTGACCCAGGCCTTGTTCTATGTGCTTTATGTGTATTTGTCAGCATTGTTCTTAATGACCACATTGCAGTGGGGAAGGCATCTTCTCCAGTGAAGCATAGACGGTTAGGTAGCTTGTCTAGCCACATAGCTAGGAAACAGTGCAGCCAGGATTTCCCTGGGTCGTTGGCCTCCCTTTTGCTAGCCTTTCTCACTGATCTTGGACATTCAAGTAGGTCCTGTCATCTCCATGTACAGAGGAAGATACCGCAGCTCCCAGAGCTACGAAGTGCCATTCCAGACCCTGAGGTCCTTGTCTCCCAGCATGTCGCAGGGCTTCCCCGTCCTCCGCTTCCCCATCCTGCTCTCTTCATGCCCTTGTTCACATGCATGGTGGAGGTCAAGGTTCTATGTGCTCATGGCCTCCCCCTTCCTTAGGGGAGCTGGAGAAGCAGCAGGGAACAAAGACACTCTCCTTCAAGTCCGGGGGAGCCCAGGTGGAACCGCAGTCAAAGCAAGGATCACCCACAGGTGAGTATGCGCTCTGACACGCGCCCCAGTCCACAGAAGCCCCTTGCAGATCTGACCCTGGCTCCTGGGGGACTTGGGTGGAAGATGAGCCCAGTTTTTAGTCATTTCTTTCCTCTGAGGAGCTCCTAGCTTTCTGTCTTTATTCGCTTGGGCTTTAATAATGGAAGTTGGAAGGAAAGTAGAAGAAAAAAGTACCTGTTTTGCAAATGGCACCAGAGTTCAGGAGTCCATGTCTGTGGCACCATTCGCTCCAGAGGAATCAGGCCAAGTCCTGTCATCCTTAACCAAGAGAGGGGGACCAGGGGAGGAAGGAAAGGCAGCCAGTAGGGTCTGGGAGTCTCATGCCCCATGAGAGGTCCAGTTCTTTCCCTGACAGGCCCCATGCACTGACCAATACAGGTCCAGGTCAGATACCCTGAAATCAAGACAAGCCTCCAGTCAATTTCTCAAATGGTTTATTCAAATTGAATTGTTCACTTTAGCCAAGGCAAACATCTGCAGGCTTGATGTCCCCTCGGTCACACTCTCTAGACTTGCTCCCTCAGCTTCTGATGCCCCCTCTTTCTATCTGCTGCCCCAACTTTGCCTTCCCCCATAGAGGGCACAGAGGACAATGCCACCTCCACCCTCCATCAGCCCGCAAATAAAAAATTAGAAGGAGCAGTAATTTGAGAATTAAACCCCATCCTACCTCAGTCCCAGTAAACCACCCAGAACGGTCTATCCGTTAGCTCAGTCCCTTCGAGTCACAGTCAGCGGACCGTACTGAGTGTGTGTGCCTCTGCCCTGTGCTGAGCGCTGGGATCAGGTCACAGCGAGATGCCAGTTGAAACTGAGGAACTCTGGAGGGTGCCCTTCAACCTCTGTGCACTGGCCCCGATGACAGACTTGGCACAGGCAGGAGCACAGGAACTGGTCCTGCCTGCTAGGACTGGTGACCTGCTTTCTAAGCACCCCATGGGGCTCTTTTGCTTCATGAAAATTCTCACCGTGATGTCACCCTTGCAGACAGGTTCCACCTGTGGCCAGCATCTGTGCTTCACCACCCAGCCTGACTTCAGCAGCCCTTGATTTTGTGAGGTCAGGAGTGGCAGTCACAGCTTGTTTTCACAACTATCTAAGCCCAGAGCCAACCCTCTGCTGTGATTTATTCTCTCTCATCTCATACCTACAGCTCTGCTGGCCTCTCTTTGGGAAATGCAAGCCCTGGTCACACCAGGATGGTGTCCCCAGGAATCTGTTCATGAGCTGCCTCTTTAGTGAGTTGTTTCTGATGCCCAAGAGATGCCACAGTCCTTTCTTGGGCTTTGAAAAGCAGTAGGCTGACCAAAGCAAGAGAAACTGCCCACCCCCTGCTGGAAGTGGAGAAATCAGTGGTTCCTGCAGAAGGGCAGTGGAGGCCAGGGGATGACTTAGAAAGAGCCATCAAGCTGTCCTTGGGGCCCTGCGGGGCCCTGCTGCCCTGCAGGATGGGCAGAGCACCTCGGCCGTAATCACAGGCCATATGGGCTCAGCTATGCACCAGGCACTGTGGTGAGTTCTGTCCCAGGCTTAAGTCATCAAGTCATAGGAGGAGGGACAAGGAACCCGAGGCTGATCACCGTAGTGCCCACAGACCAGCACCCACCTCATAAGCTGACTTTCCCGGTCCTCTTGGGAAAGAGCTGTGGGAATTAGACGCAAGAATGCCAACATCAGAAAGCATGTCAGGGATCCGCTATTATGGAGGCCCAAAGAGGTGCAGCATCTCACCCAAGATAACACCTCTAGGTGGCAGACCTGGGCTCCCACCTTCCGGTGCTCTGAGCTAGGCCTGTGCCACACCCACATTCTGGGTGCCCAGGCCCGCTAAACTGCAGAGGCGCCTGGGGAGGAGGAGGGCGGGTCTGGGCCCTCGTCAGGACCGGTAGAGAATGAGTGCTGTGCTGTTTACATTCAAAGCCAAGAGGGACGCTGCGCTGGGGGAGAAGCCCGCGGAGAGCCCAGGGGAGGTAAGTAGAGGCCTGGTGCATCCAGGTGAGTGTCTTCGTGCCCCCTCGTCCTTCTTCTCACCTTCTCTGTTGTTTCTCTTCTCAGGTATTAATCCATGCCTCCCCAGCCCGACTCACCATTTTCCCAATTTCAAGAGATACAATTAAAAGTTATTGCTAGCATGAGTAACACCACTCTTCCAGCGCCTAGTTAATCCGCCAGCACATTCCGCCCACTCCCAGCCCAGCCCCAGGAGAGGGAGCCCACAACACCTCACAGCCCTCCTTCCTGTGCACCCCTCCACCCCTGCCCCAGGGCGCTATCAGAGAACCCAGGGTCCCTTTCCCCGGCACCCATCCCCCTGAGAGGGAGCCTGGGCTTGCCCTGGAGAGTCACACTTAAGTCAGGTCCCCAGGCAGTCATTTCTGGGCCTGATGTGCCCTTTGGGCACCTCCCTGAGGAAGATGGAGAACTGAGAGGTGGACAAAGAAGGGGCTTCTCTCTGAAACAGCTGGTTCCCTGCAAGGCTGGCTTTAGTAGGGGGGTATACACAGCGGGAATGAGACTGAGCAGGGCTGGGAATGTCTTGGAAACAAAGGACACCCACTCTCAGGCCACACGGGAAAGAACATGGGATGTCCCTGCCAGCCCCAAGGTGTCTCCCCTGTTGGGGAACATGCAGCTGTTCCAGCAAGTCTACCTGGGCTACAGCCCCCACACTGGACCCCTTTGTACCCCATGGAGCCCCGGCCCCATATCTTTGCTACCAGGACACTAGTTGCTCATACAGACAGTCCTTTCCCAGCCCCACCAGCTGCAGGGCCCGCTAGATGTGAGGAAGGAGCCCACTTACCAGGTTGCTGAGCCCTGGCAACTGCAGGATGCCCTAGGAGCTCAGTTTCCTCCTCACTCCATGGCCCCCACTCCCCACACACGAGTGTCTGGAGCAGGCAACCCCTACTCGGAGGAGCTTCCGCCCAGCAGCTGACCAGCCCCTGGGTGGGTATTCCATCCCCACCTTCCTCTCCCATCTTCCCACAGCTGCCCATCTCAGCCTTGCAGATAAACATGCCAAGTCGCCAGCCCTGCCCTTGCCCTGGCCACAGCCGCGCAGCGGCAGTCTGACACCCACCCATGTGGCTATCTGCAAGGCTCCCTCCCCTCAGCTAGCTCCAGGGCCCTGCCAGCCCCCGCTCCCCTGCACAGTGGACAGCCTTGCCGCCCCGTGGCCTCTCCGCTGGACCCCAAGCTCTCGTCCTCTGCCCTGTCCTCCGTCATTGCCTGGCCGAGCCCTCTGGCAGGCGCTTATCCGTCTTCTCTGAGCTGTCCTGACCTGCTGCTCATGTTTCACCCTCTATCTCTTTTCTCTCTCTCCCTCTTTCCTGAGTAGGGAGTGAGAAGGGGTTTAGAATGAGAGGACATTTTGCTGTCACATCCCGCTTTTCACTTACTGACCATTAAAGATAATGGACTCGGTCATCCACGGTGGAGGCAGAGCCAGCGCACGGGAGTGGGAAAGCAAGCTTGGGCTGAGGCCGAGGGCTGAGGGCGTGTGGAAGCATCAGCCAAGGAGAAATCAGCCCACTGGTCTGGACTGGGTGACCAGGCGCTTGCCGAAGGAGGGGTGGCCATGAAGGTGGGACAGGGAAGGCAGAAGGGCTCCCAACCTGATCTGAGAGCACTTTTCTCTCTGGGAACAGTTCAGAACACAAGTAGAGGGGAAAAGAGCCCATGGCCTCCGGCAGTGGTAGTGACAGAGGCAGTCTTCCGAATGAGACTCACGGCGGGTCCCCAAGAAGAAGGGGCTTCCGGTCATACCCTCTGTCTGCTGTGTGTCTTGGCAGGACAGCAAGGGGCACAGAGGAGCCTTCATTCGTTGCAGGGATCTTGGGGCTGGAAAGGTACCACTGAGCCAGAGGATGGAGAATGAAACCTGACACATGCAGACCCGCTTGCTGGAGCTTAGAGTTCTGAGGGGCAAAGGACGAGCTGGGGGCCCTTCAAGGAGGGCAGCCCACAGGAGTGCTCAGGTCCAGGAGGGCCCTTAGGAAGGCACCCTTAGCCAACAAGCACGGCCAGGAAGTGCTGGTTGAAGGCTCCAAGATGGTACTGGGCTGCACTGGGATAAGGTCTCTTCCCCTGCAGCCTTGATACCCCCTCTGCACTCTGAGCAGCAGGCCATAGGTGGTAGAGCCCAGCTCAGACAGCACAACTGGAAGCATCCTCAGAGAGAAGGGCCTTAGCCTCCCCGCTGGACCGAGGTGTTTGGAGGGGCTTATAGAGTGTCATAACTACTGGTTTGGGTACTTGGGGGTAGAGACAGGGGAAGAAATTACATCCTTGTCTTTCTAGAGTGCACTAACCTCCCAGTGCTCAGCTCCTCCTCCTCCCAACTGCTAGCAAGAAGAGGCCACATGCGTTCACGCTGACCCCTGTGGTCCCATGGGCCTCGGGGTACTGTCTCCTCCCCCAAACCAGGGATGAAAATCAGAATCCCTCTAACTCTCCCCTCCTGCTACCAGGCAACCCTAAGCAGAACCCAGCTTGGGCTGAAAGGCAGGTGGGCACCCAACTCTGCCCTCAGATGTCCAGGCTGGTTTGAAGGCAGAGCCATGGCCACATGGTGCGTGAGAGGACAGAGCAGGTCCAGAATGCCCCTTTGGTGGTCTCTAGCATTCTGGGGTTTGGGCATCTTTTCTGATGTCAGTTACAGCCAGGTTCTCTTTCTAAAGAAGCAGGAGGAAGAAGGATGCGGGGAAGGATCCGAAATGCTTGGCTCTGTCCCTGTGTCTCAGGCTCCTGTTCTCAGCACTGTCCTGGGAGGCAGAGGGGGCCAGAGGCAATGCCAACTTCTCAAGCTCAGTGGGTAGGAAGGCAGAGGGGGAGCAGTTGGCTGGAACCCACAGCTAACAGCTGTGCCTAAAGTCAGAATGCAGAGGTGTGTGAAGCCGGTCTCCGTGAGGAGGTGACTGAGGCTGTGGAGCCGTCCTTCCCCACCGTTAGACTCTGGGCTCTGCTCTCCCTGATCAGAAAAGCTAGGGTCACAGCCAGCTTTCCTCTGGGTGGAGAGTTGGGCAGAGGCTCAGAGAAAAAAATGAGAGTACCCAATGGGCTGCAGAGATGGGCACGAGGGAGGGAGACAAAGGGAGGCTCGGGCAGCCTGTCCCAGCCCTGGGAACTAGTCTCGTAACATGTCATGCTTCTCTGGCTGTTTCTAAACTAGGTGTCAATTCACAACAGGCTTCAAACGTCCCAGCACAACTCCAGGCTGGGGGCCGAGACGGGAGCGCCAGCGCCAGCGCCAATGCCAGACCCGCAGCCTAGCCCTTTGAGAGAGCAGCCCCCGCTGCTGCCACCGCTGCCACCCACTCCCCCAGGCACCCTGGTGCAGTGCCAACAAATTGTCAAGGTCATTGTCCTGGACAAGCCCTGCTTGGCGCGCATGGAGCCCCTGCTGAGCCAGGCTCTCTCCTGCTACACCTCGTCCTCCTCTGATTCCTGCAGCTCCACACCTCTGGGGGGCCCAGGGTCCCCGGTCAAGGTCATCCACCAGCCTCCACTGCCCCCACCCCCGCCCCCTTACAATCACCCCCACCAGTTTTGCCCACCCGGCTCCCTGCTGCACCGGAGGCGCTATTCCAGCGGCTCCAGGAGCCTGGTGTAGCTTTGCCCCCAGTAGCCTGTGGCTCCAGGAAGGCTGGCCACCAGAGGGGTCCTCGGCTGCCCCTTAGCTGCTACCCATATCCTGGCGTTCCTGGTCATCAATCACTGTTTGGAAAGAGAACCCTGATCCCTGGCACGTGGATTTGCTTGGTCCAGCCATCCTGTCCTTAATCAGCTGAGCACCCCCAAAACCTGGGCACACCACTTCCCTCTCCTGGGGCCTCAGAGCCAGGTGAGGTAACATATCCGGCCACCACTCTCCCGAGTTGGACCGTGAAGTGAGGACACTCAGAGCTGAGGGCCCGACCAGCATGCAGGTCTGAGTCCGCTCATGGCCAAGCCTCAGTGCACAGGCAGGAGCGGGAGGCTGGGGTGGCTGGCAGTGGCAACAGGGCCCTGGATGGAGGGGGACTGGCCCATAGCCAGGTGTACCTGTGGCTGGGCTGAGTGGAAGAGGGTAGCTTGCTCTCTGGGGGAACAGCTGGCAGGAGGCTGGAGGAGGAGCTTATTCTGCTCCCCTATCCTCCATCCCAGCAGTCTTAGAAGGCTGCTGCTGGGTCCCCAAGGACATTGGCTATCTGGCCCCTCCTCCCAAGGCCTTCTCAAGACCTGCCTTGGCTTCAGGAAAGTTTTGAGAAAGGGAGGAGAAAAGAGGTCATGAGATTGTGAGATCGTATATCTGCAAAATGCACTTTTAAAAATCATTCACTGGTTCCCCAGCACCAGTAATACCCAGCCAAAGTCAAGTGCACATAAGCACTGGCATGTAAGCATGCAGCAGAACCAGGTTAATTTCTTCCACTGTTTGCACAGAAACAAGGGGATCTCCCCAGTGCCGGTTCTGGTAGAGGTTCCGCTGCACTCAGAGTCAGGGCTGTCTCTTGGTGTTCAGAGGCCTACAGGAGGAACCTGGATGAGAAGCAGGCAGGAGCAGTGGCCCCAAAGCCTTTAGAGGTCCCCTGTAAATCACAGAACCCCTCAGGCATGGATGGCTGAGACCCTTGATGTCACAAAGGGGAGCCAAGCAGGGCTGCACTGCTGGCCTCCCGGGGTGAACAGCATAAAGCCAACCTTAGGTGCCCACAAAGCTTCAGCCTGAGGAGAGATGGCCCATCCTCAAAGCCCTGGCCACCCCACCGTGGAGGTTTCAGGAAGTATATGCTACAAGCCTGGCCACACTGTGGTCCTGTGCCTGCACCTACAGCTGTCCTTCACCAGTCCTCCCTCTCAGACCCCAGGTATAAAGCTGCAGGGAGACATGATAGATAGTGGCTCAGTCTGAAGCAAATGGGCTTCTGCAGCCCCAGCACACGCCCTCTGCTGCAGCATTCCGGGCCAGGGAGGAGGCAAAGCTAATCCCCACCCTCAGAGGGCCCAAGTGACCTAGTTTCCCCTATGTGTAGGAATACCCAGACGTCATCATGACGTTACTCGGTGAGTTTATTTCTGGCTCTGTTTTTGTCAGCCTGGTTTCCGTAACTTGGAACCAATTTTCTGTGTCCCTTGTGACTCCTAGCCCGTTTGTTCCCCCCATGCTGGCTGCCTTGGACCCTCCAGGGGCTCTGCTGAACCAGAGCTTGGGCTAGAGCCTGGATACAGGTCAGAGGCTCACCCTAGCAGGCTGCCAGGAGGCCACGGGCCCCATAGGCAACAGGGGCATCCTGCACAGATGGGCCCACAATTCAGAAACCTTGATGCCCCGAGCCAGGGTGGGGACCTCAGGGTCTTGAGGGGTGATGGAGATGCAGGGATGGGAGTGAGTGAATCTTGAATGAGGGGCTAAAAATGAGTAGAAGGCAAACCATGAGCAGGAGGCCAAGTGTGAGGTATGAAGCAATATGAGGGATGAGTGCAGCTAAACATAAGGGACGGAGCCGTGGGTGCCAGCGCTGCTGAAGAAGGACATGGCCCTAGACTACTTTGTGCCCACCATCAGGGCCTTGTCCCTGCTCACAGTGTGAGCAGCCGGCAGGGACAGCAATGTCTGCCCCTCCCTCACGCTCAGCCAAAGCCCAACTCCCCCCAGGCAGCAACCACAGTCTCAGGGTTGACTCTGCAGTCCTGGACCCCGCCCCTTCCCCAGGTCAGAGGCTCACCCTAGCAGGCTGCCTGGTGGCCACGGGCCCCTAGGCAACAGGGGCATCCTGCACAGCAAGAGATCAGCCCTGGTGGGCAGCACTGACCCAGGAAGGGTCAGGGCAGGAGACACTGGCCCTCCTCACTGCGGAGCAAGCTGGAGTTCCCAGCTCCTGCAGCCTCCCTCCCTGCCCAGTCAGCAGGCTAAGCTGGGGCCCCTCTTTGTCTCCTGCCCAGAGACTAGGGATGTCCTCTGTCCTCCCCATGGGAGCAGCCAAGTCAGGGCCTCCCAAAGGGTCCAGCAGAGATGCTCAGGGGTCCTCCTGCTCTCTAATAAGGGCCGTGCAGCGCTGACTGAGCCCCGATCACCCTGAGACAGCCCCACTTCATCAACCCTCTAGACCTTATTCTGGGGGCTCCTCTCCTGTTTTATCCATTTGGTCCAAGTCCAGAATGAAGAGTGGGAGATGAAACTAGCTTCCTCACCCCTTCAGGGCAAGTCCCACTGCCAGACCTGAAGCCTGAAGTGGGCCCGTCCAGCACTCGTCCTGGAAGCCTGCCTCTCTGTCTGTTCTAAAGGTATCTTCCTTCCCCGAACACTTAGGTCCTGGACCTCTGGCTCCCCTCTTCCCCACCACTGTGCACCAGAGCTGCCAGGATAGCTCTTGTAGCCAATAGGCTTCCCTGGTGACCATCTGTCTGTCTGTCCCCGAGTTCTGGGACACCGCTCTTCTCACAGCACCCCTCCGTGTGCTCACCCTTCACCCTGCTGGAGAAATGCCTCTCTAGGGAAAGGCAGGGTGGCTGCATCCAGCAACTAATCCAAATGGCAAATATTTTGTAACAAAATAGCCCAGAGGTATTTTATCTGTTGAATTCATAGAGTTTTAGAGATTATATTGAAATATGTCACTTGAGGAAAACGTGTCGGTTGCTTATTTGTTCTCACACAGGGTGTCTGTCCCACAAGGGTCTGGCTAGGAGGAGCCCTGGCGAAGCCAGGCATGCTGCCGCCACGGTCTTCCTCTCACTCCAGGATAATGTTCTTACGATGTGATGTGATTAGGAACATTGGGGTAGGTGCCAGGGCAGGGCTAGGTACAGAAGGAGGAAATCACCTGGGGGTGCAGGCCAGCGCCCACCTCATCAGTACCCACATGTGCACACACACATGGAGTCGGGAGCGGGTTATAGTAGAGACTGAGGACAGCAGGGGAGGAAGGATGTGCCACAGTGGCCAACATGCACCCTGAAGGTTAGTGCAAGGCGGGAGCTAGAGCCCCCACAAGCTTGGCTTCCTGCAATGGAGAGCAAGCATCCTTTGAGGAGCTGAGGGGGCCCATATCATTGGCCAGATTTGATCCTTGGCTCTGGGTGATTCTCCCCCAACACACACACACACACACAGACACACACACACACACACACACACACACACACACACACACACACGTTCCAAATGCAGGCTCTGCTCAGACAGGAGGTTTCCCCTTCCGGATTAGATGCAGAGGTAGAGGACTGGGACGAGCCTGGGACGAGTTGGGAAAAGTGCTTGGAGTGCAGATTGCATCTTCCGAACCCTCCACTGTCACACTGGGTCTCTTGCTGGGACCTGAAGGAGAACCAGCCTTCTGGGAATGGCCCAGGGCCTAGAGACTGAAACGAGGCTGGTGGAAATGCAAGGGCTCTAGTGAGCATTCACAGCCACTAGATCTCAGCTCAGCTCTGCCGCAGGGGGCTGGGACAGGGTGCTTTCCCCAGGTGGGGACAGAGGAGACAGGCTTCCAGCCACCCAGAGACACAGGAGGACTGCACCATGCGAAGAGATCAATAGGCAAAATGGTGCTTGCAAAGCGGGTACTCTGCTCTCTTGGTGACAAGAACTGTGAACTCACAGAAACCCGGGTGTTTCCAGTGCCCTCCACAGGCTGGATTCAACCGAGCTCTGTTAAAGAGGGCACATGAGCTCACTCCCTTTCCTGGAAATGGGAAATCCCAGGAGAAGCAGAGGTCAGCTAGGACTGGTTCAACTCTTCTCTGATCCAAGAAGCGGAGGCCTGGTGCCTCAGGGAACCGGGCCAGTCTAGTGTTCAGACAAGGCCTGAGGTGGTAAGGACCTCTTGATGCTTGTGCCAGGGTGCCAGTGAGTAAAAGGGCTTTTCTCCCACTTCCTGGTCCTGAAGTCACCCAGGAGGAATGTCCACCCTCTAGTGGAAAAGGGAAACCAAACCATTGCATTCTGTTGGAGCCCCTGGTGGTCTGGGTCCTCTGGGTCCTTTGGAGTCAGGAGAGAGGCCCTGCTCAGTCCCTGGGTAACCCTTTGCAAATGGGAAACAAACACTCATGAGTCATTTACTTAGAGTGCCACCAGAAGGGGTCCTGGGATTTACCAATTTCTGGCTGAGGGCAATAGCCAAGAATAAGGAACTGGTGCCACAAATTAGGGTGAATTCAACAAGCCTCTACACATCCACTGCAGCAGGCACCTTCCAGGTACAGGGGATATACAGTGATCAGCACAAGCAAAGCTCCTGCCTGAAAGTTCACATGAGGAATCATCCAAAAGAAACAAGCAGTGAACCAACCATGTTTACACAGAGGATGGTGACATGGTCAGGGTGATGTGGAGGGTCCATGTCAGAGTACATGTCCACGAAAGTCTTCTCTGGGGAGTAATATACAGCCAGATCAAGGTCAGGTCTGAGGGCACTGAGGAGATGCAAGGATAAAATATTTTTGAGGCAGAAATCAAGACAATCTGCCAAAAGACTATTACCTGGTATATGAATTTACTTACATGAAAAAAAATCTTCCTAAAGTGTAAAAATTTTTTTCACTGAGGACATCATAAAGTTGGTTTTCTCCTAGAATATCCAGGTCAGAAGCATAGGCTAAGAAGAGAAGCAGGCTGGGGAGGGCAGTCAGGTGGCTCCAGTGGGGCAGGGCCGAGGCTGCGGCCTCCTAGGCTGCCATCTGGGGCTCCAGGAAACACAGAACAGCAGAGGTGAAGCCCAGCTGCCTGACGCTGGTCAGCTGCTGTCCAGCATGAGAAGCATAAATGGGATTCTCATACCTGACAAAGGAGGAACCCAATTTGGGGCTTGGTCAGCTGGCAGGCAATCCCCGTCTGCCTCCTCCCCAGTCATTCCAAACCATGCAGACTCAGATTATAAGGAGTAACATAATGGACCCTGTCTTGTTCACTTTTCTGTCACTGCTGGGACAAATCCCTGACACCTACAGTTAAGGAAGGAACAGTTTATTTCACTCACAGTTTGTGGAGGTTTAGTCCATAGTCACCTGGCTTCAAAGCAGAGTGGCATGGCAGAGGGACACGCTCTTCAAGACAGCAGAAGACAGCAAAAGCAGCAAAAGCCACAGAGGGGGCAAGTCCTTTTTCCTCTCTTGTATTGTAAGAGGTTTAACACTCCCCCACCCCAGGGCTGGTGTTCCCTTGCAGAATGAGGATATTTACAAAGTGAGGACCCTGGCCCCCTGCTGAATCCCTTAGTTAGACATCTAAATTTTTTAAGATGATACAATGTATCAACTATTACAGATCCCATGGTCTATTGCTCACTTGGTCTTGGGGTTGATACTTTTCATACCTGAACATATGTCTCATAAAACTACAGTAAGACTGATCTTTGTCACCAAGGCTGCACAGTGCAGCTGTGGGCCTCGGCACACCATCCCCACCATCCCTGATGGATGTGCCTAATTTACCACTGCTTTCTGGGAACCCCTATCAATCATAAGCTGTCGACACCAAGATGAAATTAACTTTCAGGTCTGTCCTGTGACACTCTCACAGAGGCCCCATGAGAAAAATCATTTCAGGAGGTGGTTTTGGAGCAGCAGGCAGCAAGCTTAGGTGTGGACCAGCAGAGCTGCTGGGCGCCTCCCTGTGCCCCTTCCCTCAGACTCTGGAAAACAGCTCTACTTCTCTTCCACCAGCGCTCACCCCTCAGAAGCTGAGGGCTGCTTTCGACATGGCTCCACCCTGTGGCCAGCTGGGCTGCCTTGGGAGCAAGACCCTTTTGGCCTTTCCGAAGGCAGACCCGTCAGAGGCAGGGGGTGTTCCATCCTGAAGAAGGTAAGGTCCATCAGAGACCAGTGACCAAGAGCCATGGCTGAGCTCTTTCCTGCTCCTCTTCCCTTCCCAGGGAGGCAGCCAGGCCAGGGACAGAGCTGGACTAAGCGAGGGGACAGGAATGGTCTGGGTCAGGTCCAAAACTGATTCCAGCAGGAAAATTCCATGCAGGATGAGTGTCATGATGCAGGAATTGGAGTTCAGGAGATGAGGGGGAGAGATGGGAATTCTCCTCCCTCTTCCTCTTCCTCCCTCCCGCTCCCCTGCAGGTCTAGGCAGTTTTGCTCCCTTGGGAACCAGGAAGCCTGTCACCATACCCAGCCCCTGGCACCTCAGTGTATCCTGCTCCCATGACCCAGAGACTGAACGATCTCATGACTGGCTCTGGGAAACTGTGGGAACCAGCTGTAGGGGAGGCAGAAGACCACCCAGGAGACCCGGTTCTTGTGGACATGTTTCTAGCTCCTCAGATCTCCCTTTTCTTCCCCTTCCCAAGAACCCCAATGCTCCATCCCCCTTTTAGGACCACCACTGTCCACCCTTAGTGTGCAGCAGACACGGGTGAGCGAGCCTTCCCCTTCACCCCAGGGAGTCACAGCATGCCCAGCCAGACCTACGAGTGGATGTACAGGTTAGATGTCCAGCTAACTGGCTTTGTTGTCCTTTTACAGATAAGAAGTTACAAACAGAACAATAGATAAGTCCAAACTAAGAAGGAAGAACAAAGCAAGCACAAAGGCAGAAATTAAAAGTTTCCATACACACGCCAAAAAATATCCCCACACCAGGCTGCATTATGTGACTGTATTCTACTCCATGTTCATTGAATAGACAATTCAAATTTCATACTAACTCTTTCAGAAAAAAAGTTATGCTCTTTTTTTAAATGAACCTAGAGTAACCTTAAAAGCAAAAGCTAATATAGACAAACACAGCATGGGAAAGGGAGGCAAGAGGCAAATGTTGCTTATGAGTCTAAACACACAATTTCTACACAAAATATTAAGAGTATGAGGGGGAGAGAATGGTATTGAATGACAAAAACGTGACACACCATGACCAAATTGGGTTTTTTCTGGGAATGAAAAGATATTTTAATACAAAAAACTTCATGAAATTCACTACATTAATATTAAAGAACAAAAACAATATGATCAACTCAATAGATGCCAAAAAGCAATCATAAAATTCAATACTTATTCTTGATTTTTTTTTAAAAAAAGCAAATATGGAACAGAAGAAAATTTCACAGCCTAATAAATAGTGTCTACCACAAGTCTACATCAGTTATCACACTCAGTAGTAAAACGTTAGACCTGCTGTTGAAGCTAGGAAAGAGGCCTGCTGCCACCACTACCAAGCCTTTAGTAAAGGAAGACAGCAAAATGAATAAGGAAAAGTGATCGCAACCGGGGTGGCGGTGCGCACCTGTACTCTCAAGCTATGTGGGGGTCTGTGGCAGCAGGATCTCAAGTTCAAAGCCAGCCTGAGCAGCTTGGCAAGATCCCGTCTCAAACTAAGATCTTAAAAAGGGCTGAAGGTGTAACTCAAAACTGAAGCACTCACTTAGCACACATGAAGCCCTGGACTCCATACCTCGCCCTACAAGAAAAAAGAGAGAGAGAGAGAGAGAGAGAGAGAGAGAGAGAGAGAGAGAGAAACGGAGTAAGTGGGAAAAGACAACCGCTAGTAATTTCAGACAGCCTGAATGTCCATGCAAATAGCCTAAAAGAATCAAGACCAAAAAAGCCCAAAACATGACCTCAGTACAGAGAAAGAGGCCATGGACAAACAGGGAGACCAGGTGCCCTGACAGTGGCTCCCTCCCCAGTCTGTGCTGGCGGTTCCTGTCCTTGCCTTGGGACCCTTCTCTCCATGGCAGATCCAAATGTCACCCGCTCTCCTGGAGGACTAACTTAGGCCAGGCATGGCACAGCCACTTTTGATTATTCCATGGGCAGCAGCTTTTGGGGCGCGGCATGGGGACCAGGACCTTCCTTCCACTGCAGCTCCCTCAACATTCTGGGAAGGTGGATGTGGGCAAAGAAAACCTTAGGATTCTTGTCAAAGGGCTGGAGTAGGGTCTGACCTGAGGGATACCCAGGCTACCCAGGGCTCAGGTTGGCAGGGGCAAGCTCCCCAATCTCTGTAACAATTCTGTACTCATCTCCCTAACTTACCACATTGCTTCTCAGGCCAGATGAGCAACCTGATCTGCCGGTCATCAGCCTGGGAGCAGAGAAAGCTGAAATGGAGCACCCAGGGTCCGGGCCACCGAAGTGCCCAGCCCCACATTGCCAGCCAGGCCTCCTCCTGTCAGGCTCTGTATCCTCCCAGCACACATGTCCTCCCCTGCCTCTGTGTATCGATGGGTGGTTAACAAGCTTTTCATCCCTGTCAGATCCAGTCAGCCCTTGTTCCTTCACTGAGCAGCCAGCCCTGCAGGGAAGCCACGTGGCTCAGTCATGGGGAGCCAGGCACGAGGAGAGAAAGGGCAGCAGGGACAGAGCCAGCCAGCCCTTGCCTGACACAGAACAGGGAGAAGAGAGCACGTGAGCATCATGGAAGACCCTGGGGGTTCACGTAAAGGGTCAATGAGGAGAACGGCAAAGGGTTAGGACAGGAAGAGACCAGGGAATCGTCCCTCTCAGCTGGGGCCCACCCTACCCTCAAAGAGACACTTCCTCCTGCACCCTCAAACCCAGGGCCAGTATTAGTTATCTACTGCTCTGACAAACTGCTCCAAAAACAAATAGCTAAAACCCACGTGCATGTTTTTTACCCTTCAGGCCCACTGCTGAGGGCATTGCTGGCCAGGGCCTCCACTGAGCTGCAGGCCAGACATTCACCCCACCCTGAGTGATCTGAAGGAGACCTGGAGGAGAGGAGTCTCCCTCCTAATGGCTCACACAAGTAGGTGATGCTTGATGCAGGAGGCCTTGGTCTCTCCAGGTGCGCCTCTCCATGGCTTCCAGGGATCCACACTGCCACATGGGAGCTCCTATAGCCTGACACTTCAGACCTAGCTTTGAAGTTACAGCCAGCCACACTCTGGCCCTTCTCTGGGACAGGAACAAGCCTGGACAAGAAGGGGACTCAATCTAGAATTCTGGAAGGCTCTAGAGAGTAAGAGGGCCACCATGAATAAAACATCCAGTGCGACCACTGCCGAGACCACTGCCCTCTGCTTTTCCCTCCTGCTTGGGGCAGGGTTCTGTACCCTTCCCCTACCTCCAGGTTATGAACTCAGATGCCCTCAGTACTGAGTGGGTGAAAAGTCTAGGCCTTCATAGGAATGGCGACAAACTGGATCCCACCACCATCTGAAGTCCCTTTCTTGTCTGTTGCCTCTGTTCCTGGGGAGGCGCAGAGTGGCAGACACATGCCTCCCACAGCCCCTGTGCCTGACAGGCAGCCAGGGATTCTGCAGCTCCACTGCTGATGACATCCGTGGGATGAGGGGAGGCGGTGTCTGCAGATGCTGACAGTGAGGGGTGCAGGACTCATGCTGGCTGTGTGCAGAACTATCCAGAGCAGACCATGAACACACTGTGGGCTCGGGCTGGCACGGGGAGCTGCAGGTCCGGGGAGGCTGGCTGCTGGGGGACCCCCACCTTCCCATCCCACAGAGCAGGTGACGGATGGATGGACAGACAGAGGGGACTTTCAGCCCAGCTTAGCGACTCCACCCTCCACCCTCCGTGAGGCAACTGGGTGAGGGCCTGTGGGAAGGAGTGAGGCCATTGGGGAGGTCCGGGGTAAATTCTGGGTGAGGGGTAGAGGGAGGGATCCAGTACGGGCAGTGAGGCTGGGCTGTTGGGGCAACTGAGGACAGGCTCAGTGGCCTGGGCCGGCGCGCAAGCATAGCAAAGAGGTGGTGTGGCCTCCTTTGTGGGCCGGAGCGAGGCTGCAGGCCGCTGTTAAGGTCTCCAGTGAGGCCAGGTGGGTCAAGGATCGTTAAGAACAGAGTGACAGGACAGATGAGAGCACCCTTCTATTTTGGGGGGCTGCAGGCGGCAGGCTGCCACCACGCTTCCCTTTGCCACTAGGAGGCAGCAGAGAGCCCACACTGGCCCCACGGTTGGTTTGGTGGAACCTTGGGCTGGCAACAGGGAGCACTTGGCAGAAGCAATTTCCTTGTGATTCCCTCCCTAGTTAGTCCTAGCAATATGACCCAGGTACAGAGAACAGGCCAGAGGAGGCAGAAGGGGTCTCCAGGAGCCAGGGCATCTGCTGTGACCAAAGACCCACTTCTCAGGCAGAGGAATCCCCCCAACACAGCCCCGCTTTCTGTGGGAGACCCTCAGTACCCTGGGGAAGGGAAGATGGAAAGCAATAAGAACAAGAGAGAAAACGGGGTGGGACGGGCATGGAATAGCAGGGGGACCTTGAGGTGGGGCACCAGTCCAAGGACTCGCTCCCCCAAGACGGGCCGAGCACATGCGCAGTGAGACAGAGAAGAGCCCGTGGCGGCGGCAATCTGTGCGTGCTTATAATAAACTGGGGCAGGGGCAGAGAAGAAGGAACAGCAGCCCAAGCACAAGGAGAGCAGGTCTGAGGTGCGTCCAAGGCTCCTCATGCAAACTGGAAAAGTTCCTTTTTTGCCAGGTCCTCGGTTTTTTCATCCGAGAAGCCAGGCGCTTAGGATACGAGTCAATGCAAACGCAGCTGCCACTGCGGTGGGAAGGATGGGAGGTGACCTCTGGCTGGGCCCAGGGTCTCCTGGAGGTCCCAGCAGGGTAGAGGCAGAGGACTGAAGGTTACCCATGGAGAAGGGTAGTCCTGCCCAGGAGCGTGGCCACTCGCCCTTCCTACAGTTCGGTCTCCTTCTCCCCCGAGATGAGTCCTTCCTTCTGGGGGAATGGCCTGCAGTCCTGTCCAGGGCCGTTGTCCAGGTGTAGGGGTCGCCTGGGCTGTGGCAGGCTGGGGTCAGGGATGATGAGTTGGCACAGGCGCTGCAAATAAGGAGAGGCATTGAACGGCACTGCTAGTGAGGGGGACAGAAACCATCCTGCTGTGCGTCCCCAGAGTTCGGCACAGAGCCAGGCACGTGTAGACAAAGGGCTGGATGCTTCAAGAAGCAATAAGAAGCCACACATGGTGATCCAGGTGTGGACTTCCAGTTGCTGTGCTATCAACTACTTGTACAATTTTAGGAGTGGAATTTAAGATTCAGGAGGAACTATCTGTGCTTTTTTAAGCTTCCTGTGTTCAGGCTCCTTCACGCTACGGTTTGTGACTCAGTTTCCCCCTTATCCCTTTAGTGGTTTGAAGTTGGTTACCTTGCCCACATGATCTGCTGCGGGTCAGGTTCCGAAGATGAGGTTTCTATGACTTTTAAGGACATTTCTGAAATAAAGTCATGGACTGGTTGTCATAAGGCTCTTCCATTTAAGGTTCCACAGGTGCAAGGTTGCCCCCACTGAGAACAAGTGTGTACTCTGGGTCAACCTATTCTCCTTCCCCTGGACAACTGGCTTGAACCTAGGACTTCTGCATTTAGCTACATTCCCAGCCCTTGCAAATTTATATTGAGACAGGACCCCACTGAGTTGCTAGGCTTGGCTTGAACTTGCAACCCTTCTGCCTCAGTCTCCTAGAGTGTGGGAAATACAAGTGTGTGCCATCATTCCCAGCTGTCACATACCTTCTTCAAGGAACCCTGTGTCTTCAGGAGGGTGATAACCATAAAGAGAGGAACGCAGGCCATAGAGGAGAAGGCCAAGAACCAGCCGATGGAGTACCCCCAGGGAGGGTAGACGTAATCATTGTTGTATGTGAGTGGTGTGTGCTTGCTCAAGGAGAAGAGGAAGGTGGCCTGGAAGTAAGGAAGAGAGGCGTGGGTGAGATGAGCATGCAAGTTTCACCCTATTTATAGCGGCCAGTATGGAGAAGTCAGACCCGGTAGTGCGTCTGAGGTGAGACAGTAAAGTTCACTGCAAATCATGGTCCATGGCACCTCTCCCAAGGACCAAGGCAGGAGGAAACCCAGAGGCAGGGAGGGGGATGTGGCACTCAAAGCAGGCATCACCCTTGGCTCCTCGGGTCTTCCGGTGACAGGAGGCAATAAGGGACAGGGGTGGGCACATACCAGGCAAAGTACTGGGGTCAGGAAGAACCAGGAGATCTTCACCAGTGGCCATGGCCGGTAGCCAATCATGTCCTCAATGTTGTCATAGAAACGGTCTGCCCCTGACCAGGCACAATGTGGGGAGGGTGTGAGACCAAAGGGGAAAAACAATTTCAAGAGCCTTTGGGGAAGACTCACCTGGTTCATGCTCTTCCCCCACCCACCCTGCGGCAGGAAACAAACAGGCTGTAGGAATGCCATGCATTCCTGGCACTCTCCTTACAGGTGGAGATGTGGAGGGGCACACAGCAAGACTATCACTAGTAAAGCCTCTCCCCAGTGTCCTGACCACAGAAGAGGGGTGTGACCTAAACCAGGTTCAGTGGCCATGCAAAAGCTTGTTTATTTATGGAGCAGAGAGGAATCTGGTTCAAGTCAAAACATCCAGGGTTCCCACTGCTCAGCTGTGTCACATAAACTCAGATGAGACTAGAAAGCTGCTGGTCACAAGACACCAGACACAGAAGAATCACGTCTGAGTCCCCAGTAAAGCATGCTAGGAAGAGTGGTCTGGTCTTGGCAGAAATGCTAACTTGTCTGGGTTTATTTTGTTTAATGTCCTATTAAGGTTCCACAATTGCTCTGTTTCTAAGCACAGCGAGGCCTCTCACTGGTAAAGCATAGAACCATTCATTGGTAAAGAGGTTTGGAGAGCTCACTTACACCTCCCCAGTACCTACTACTGATCATGATGCATAAAACCCCACAATAAAGAATCACTGCCTTTACATTGCAAGGGTGGGTACTGGAGGTTGAGCGGGTTGGGGGCAGCTTTGCCACTGAGATACAAACATAACTCTTTACAGTGTTTATTCTGAGACAGAGTCTCACTAAGTTGCCCAGGCTTGCCTCAAACTTGAAACCCTCATGCCACAGCCTCCTAAGTACCTGGGATTGCTCTGACTTCTAAAAGGCAAAGTTAAAAGTTGTACATTGCCATTACTAGCCATCCACAGCTCACTATGATTGAGTCTATCAGATCCTCTCTGAAAACAAGCTGTGAAAAGAGGTGGAGGAAAACCAAGAAGCCAGCAGCCACTTGAGGAGAGAAGGTCCTCAAGAGGTATCACCAAGGAAAGAACAAAAATAAGAAGCCTTAGAACAGCAAAATCATAAAGCTCCTTGCTCAAGGCTTCTCCTGAGACCCTCATGTGTCGCTGCCACGAGCCTTTTTAACACTGGCCCTGTGTCCCCCAACCCCGTACAGTGGGAGCTGCACGCCTGGAGTAGGATAAAGGCTCCTCCACTTACTGTGTGAACTTAGGAAAAGGCCCAATCTCTCCGAGCCTCTTTCCCCTGCAAGAGCTGTTGTTCAGATAGTGTGACAGCGTGTGATGAGAGTGAGGTGCCTGACACGCAGCGGTGCTCAGAGAATGAAGTTTCTTCCCCACCGTCATCAGGTGTGCTAGTGACAAGGGCAGTGAGCACTCAGCATCCACTCAGTGGCCAAAGCCAAGGCTGTTGGTAGAAGGCAGTGGATGGCCGAACTCACCGCACTATAAGAAAGAACTGTGTACAGCCACAGTGGAAAACGCTACTGAAAACTACAAGAATGAGCTTCCTAGCCGCAGAACTATTCAAACCTTGGGTGATAGAGCATAGTTACCAGAAAGGAGTGGGAAATGAGCCTTTGCCTCCTCTTCCTCTTCCTCCTCCTCCTCTTCCTTTTCACAGTATTGGAGACTGAACCCAGGGCTACTATGCTATTTGTCCACCCGCTTTTGAGTCCAAGGCTAGCTAAACTGCCCAGGCTGGGCTTAAACTTGCCATCCTGCTGCCTCAGCCTCCTGAGCAGTCAGGACTACAAGTAGACACGTCACAACTGAAGGAATGCAGAGCTCTGAAGACCCCTTCTGACTGAGGTTCCCCTTGGCAAAGGGTCTCAAACAGCCTCCACTTCTAGACATCCTGTGGGTTATTTATCATTCCATTCTCTATTCAGAGAAACCCATTCTGTCACGGTCTCATCTCTAGCTGCCCCGATGAGAGATATCAAGCTTCCTGACCGGGACAGTAAAGCAGGAAAGTGTGGCAAAGATTGTCATGTCAGCAGATCGCCTTGCTGGCTGGGCCAGAGCTCTCCCTCCCCTGGCCCCAGCCACTCACCGTACACCCAGCTGATGCAGATGACTTCAAACACGGAGAGAAAGAGCAGGCAGATACCGCTGCAGGCATAGTAGTCAAAGAGCTGGAAGAGGTACATCCCACCCTGCGGGGAAGAAGTGCCACTGAGGCCCTGAGGCGGGGCCGGCACACCTCTCCTCTTCTCAAGGTGGCACCTGTCCATGGGGACTCTACCCCGCACAGCTCCTGGGAATTCACTTCTTGCGTCTAAGAGGAGTTTGCCCAGCCTGTTCTGCATTTAGGATGCTCGTTTACCTCAGAAGCCTCAGTTATCTATGCATCTGCAGTGGGTACACATTGTTTTGTCTGCCCAGCATCCATCCCATCTCCTGGGAACTGGTGCCACCTTACTCTGCTCCTCACTTTGCTCCAGGCCAGAACGAGTCACAGCCTGGACGCTTGCCATGCTCTGCTTTTCTGCTGAGGGGGAAAGGTGAAAGGAAAGCAGAATAGCCTTCCTTGATAGCACAGGATGGAAACTTCTGAGAATAAGGTTATCAGAAGAAAGGGAGCCACAGCATGAAAAGGAACATCCCTGACAATGTCATTAGTGCAACCTGAAACAAAAACATCCCTAGACTTTGCAGCGGCCTGACCTCATGTATTCCTCCTTTTGCTTCTGCCAGGTCTGTGGCACCTGCAACCAAAGGAGACCTAACAAATAGGGCAGATTTCACTGTTTGCATGGCTCTATAGCCTTGCTCTGAGAGAGGCTAAGCAGGTGTGCACACTCCACCTGACTGCTGAGGACAGAGTAACTCTAACAAGGGTCTGCGTGCCCTGTAGCTCTGCCCTGCCGTGGCCATACCAAACACTACTCACCACACTCACCTCAGTGACCAGCAAGAGCCCTACCAGGTAGCACACAACTGAGATGCCAAGGATCAGCAGCTCGCGCCGCCCACGCTTCCGGAGCTGCTGGGGGAACATGTCCACAAAGGCTGTCACCAGGCACTCCATGCAAACAAACTGGGGGCCAGGAGAGCAGTGGGGTGAGAGGGAGTGGGGCGGGGCACTGTTCCCTCACCCCGAGCCATCTCCAGCAAGTCCTGCCCTCGGTTCTAGGGTATGGGCAGGTGGGCACAGAAGGCAGAAGGCACAGGCAGGGTCCTTCAGCAAGGCCAACCTGCTCCTAGTCACAACAAGGAGTCCCAGCAGAGAAGGCTGGAGGGGATGGATCTGCTTGTGCAGGGGGCGGGCAGCAGGCAGAAGGCTAGAAACACACTGGGGAGTGCCCATGTATGAGGAAGCCTCCAGTCTTGAGAAGAAAGGACAGCTCCTTCACAGAGGAAGGTCTCAGGACCTGGGGCCACCCAACCAACCCCAAGCAAAAAGCCAAGACAACAGAGGGGACCTCAGAAAAGAAGCGAGGGAAAAGTAGTGCCACGATATCCACAGCTTGAAAGGTCATCATGGCAGAGCAGGGCTGGGGTGACATACCTGGCTGTCCAGGCCTAGGAATAATAGCATGATGAAGAAGAGGCAGGACCATAGCTGGGACAAGGGCATCATGGTCACAGCCTTGGGGAATGCGATGAAGGCCAGCCCAGGACCTACAGGGAACAGAGCACCCTTGGGTGAGTGCACCTTGATGCAGCCCTCTCCTTTTGTGTCTCTCTGAGCACCCATGCGTCCATGCATGTCCATGTGCATCTGTGCATCTGTGTGTGTCTGTGGGTCCGTACATATATGTATGTGTACAAGTCCGTGTGTATCTGTATGCAAGTGTGTGTGCACACGCATATAGGCATGAAAGTCGGGGTACTCCAACAGGGTGGAATGAGTCCATCCATCATTCTGCTCCTGAACAGAGCAGACCAACATCCCTCATTTGGTCTACCTGATCATCCAACCCCTCTTCCTTCTCTCTCCGGTGCTGGAAGCCCAGCTTCGTTTCATGCTCTGCCCTCAAGGCTAAAAGACTCCCGCCACCCAGCTCTTGGATCCTTGCCTCTCTGCAAGAGAGATCCTCATGTTCCGGCTCCTTTTTCATCCTTTCAGAGCCCAGGCAGCATAAGGGCACTTACCTGACTCTGCCACGTCAGCAATGGGCACACCTTGCTCTTGGGACATGAAGCCCAAGATGGAGAAGACAACAAAGCCGGCCACAAAACTGGTGACACTGTTCAAGAAGCAGAGGGCGATGGAGTCCCTGCAAAGATGAGAAGCAACTCACTGGGGGAAGAGAGAACAAAAGACAGCAAGTAAAAGAGAGAGAGAGCAGAGGCAGGGAAAAGAGGTTGGAGAAAAAAGGAGCAGGGTGTAGGGGGTGGCACTTGGGTGTCAGGAAGAGGAGAGGAAGGTGAGGTGGGGACTCAATCCGGGGAGGAGCCACAATGTCAGACTGATACCACTTGCCACTCCCTGGGCCCAGGACAAGGGTCCGGGTCCCTGAGCCCACCCCAGGGACCCCACCCTCCTCAGCACCCAGAGAGTCCAGTTTGCCGTCGCCTGCACAGTCCCACCAGCTCTCACCGGTAGCAGTTGTTGTGGTACTTGTTGTAGCTGCCCAGGGCTGTGAGGCAGCCCTGGCAGATGGCGAAGGAGAAGAAGATCTGTGTGCCCGCGTCCATCCACACCTGTGAGAGGCCCGAGAAAGTGGTAGATGGTGGTGCAGGGAGGATGGGCAGGGCCTAGGGCCGGATGGGCAGCACCAGACTTCCCCAGAGCGGAGCTGCCCTCAGCATCCCTGAGAGTCACACGTGTCCTGCCTGCCATGACTCTGTCCTCCCTCCCTCCACAGGGGCTTCTCGCAGTCAGGGCCCCTTTCCAGGCTGCTCCCATAGGCGCTTCAGAGACACTGGATGCAGGGGCGCTACTCAGACTGTGCCCAAGACAGCAAGGATTGTCTGCAGAGCTAAGAGTCACTTGCGTTTATCCAACTAGTGCACATTCAACTAGTGTGTTTGTGTAGCACCATAGGCATCTGTGACCTGATGCAGAGGGCAGTGCACAAAAACATAATGAAAAACACCAAGATTTCCATGGGAAGGGGGCAAAGAATACGCTCTAAGTTCTAGAGGAAAAACAAATGGTAGTCCAGATATAGGGAATGTCCAGCCTAGAACTAAAACTATAAAGTTATATTACTTAGACCAATCAAGTTATCACAGATTAAAATGAACTACAATCAAATCTCACAAGGGAGAAAGAAGCCTGTTCTCCAACAGTGGTGGTAAAAACCTACATTTCTCTAAATCAGTACCATTGGTCTTTTGTATCCAGTGTGTCACAGCCAAAGTTTCAACCAACCATGGATCAAAAATATTCTGGAAAGAATTGCCCCTGGACTGACAAGTACAGACGTTTTTCTTTGCTGTAAGTCCCTGAATAACACAGCGTAACAACTATGTGCACAGCATTTCCCTGGTAGTAGGTACTGTAAGTAATCCAGATATGATTTAAAGAGATGTACAAACATTATATACAAATATTGTGCTGTTCTAAATAAGTATCCTGAGGCTCAGTGGGCTTTGGTATTGTGGACAATCCCTCTCCAATACCAAGAGATGAGTATATGTTTAAAAATATGTATCTCCCAACCGTCCTGGCCAGGCTATGAGCTCAGAGGCAGGGAGGTGGCTGGTTGTGTCCCGCCCTCCCCTGCCACTAGATCATTAATTAATGTGTCCTCAGTGAACTTTTGCTGAACAAATGAAGGAAATATCACACAGATTTTTAAAATGATATTTACAGATGACAATAGCCAGAAAATGGCTCATAATGTAAGTGAAGAAAAAAGGATATATATCTTTAAATACAATGATTTCAACTACACCGAAAACATACACCACCTGAAAACAAAGATTGAAAAGATATACACTAAAATGAAAAGAGATTGTGTCTGATCATAAGAGATTTTGGTTCCTTGTTCAGTTTTCTCTTGTGTTATCTAATTTGCCTCTAGTGGGCATCTACTGTTTTTAAACCAAATTTAAGTCAGTAGGAAGCTTTCAAAGTCTCGCAGCTGAAGACCCTTGTACCGTGGTTAGCACACATGCCCACCTGGGGGTCCTTGAGGCGGAGGAGGTCTGGCTTCAGGTAGTAGATGATGCCCTCATAGGCCCCAGGGAGGGTGACACCTCGGATTAGCAGGATGATCAGCATCAGGTAGGGAAATGTGGCGGTGAAATAAACAACCTGCAGGGAAGTCAGCCAAGGGCACTGCTGGTGGGGACCTGCTGCCAGGAGGAGGAGGAGGTCTCCGGGAGTTAGCCTGCCCCCTCCCCAGGCAGCACAGTCACAGGCGCTCACCCGCTCACCGCCAGGCTCTAGGCCCACAGAGACAGCCGGAGGGGTGAGCAGTGAAACTTTCCACACCTCCCCAGCACATTCCAGTGGGTCTTACTCCCCAGCAGAGTGTGAGATACACATCAGCAGGGCAGGGTGTGGGGAGGCGCAGATCATTTCCAGCTCGTAACCCTTCAAAGACTGTTTTAAAATCCAGACTCCAGTCTGCCTTAATCCTTTATCCTGATTTTCCCCATGACCCATGGAGGGTGGGCCAGCTCCTGGCAGTGGAGTAGCCCGATTTGCACAGGCCGGCCGGCCGGCGGGCAGGCGACTGTGAGGAGGTTTAAACTGTACTTTTCCAGATTTACAGCCGGGGAGCCACGGTGGTCTGAGCACCAGGTCCCACACGCAGCACATGAAGGCTGCACCCCCCAGTCTGGCCAGGCTTGGCTGCCTACCTAGCGGTGGTCTTATCTGTGTCCTTTTTACTACTGTTATCATTCTTATCATTATCACTGCTTTTATTTTTAGAACAATCCTAGGAAAAGGAGGCTACTTTGGAAAGAGCCGAAAGTAAGGCTAATGAGAACAGTCAGCTCTCTTCCTCTTCCTGGTTAAGCAGCCTGAAGCACCGGTCTGCCTCAGCTGTCTGGGGTAGAAACAATGCTCAGACCTGCATCTCCTCTGCAGAACTAGCCATGTTGTCCACTCCTGGTCTGAACCGTCAGCAACTGGAAACTTACCACCCCAAAGACAGTTCTGTTTCCTGATTCGCACAAAAAAATTGTGTCATTTTTAAGTGCAAGCAAGCTGCAGGAGTATGTGGTCCTAACTGTGTAATACACACATGTGAAGGATCCCAACACACATGTAATGCATCCCAGCACACCTACACACATGCAGAAGAAACGAGGGGACAGAGCAGAAGTCAGCAAGGGTTAGAAGGTCGAATCTGCAAACTCATACAGTGATTTGCTCCAACAGTGAGGCTTTTATGGCTCTTGTTTTGATTTTTGCTCATATTTACCCATATTTACTTATATAAACAAGACTTTTACAGTCTATCGGGAAAGAAGATTTTGCTTATATTAATAAGCCAAACTTTGCTCCTATGAATTTCACCTATTTTTACCATATCTCTCCAGAGGGACCCTTAAAGTGTCCCCAAGGACTCTAGGGGCCACAGAGAGCCTACTAGGGGTCCCCACCTCACCTTGCCCGTGGACTTGACCCCTTTCCAGATGCAGAAGTAGCAGATGATCCAGGCAAGCAGGAGGCACAGGGCCAGCTCCCACCGCAGGGCCCCCAGGTCGTGGATGCCCGAGGTGATTCCCAGAACACGTCTCCTGGTGGATTGGGAAAAAATAAGTCATCAGATGAGAAGCCAAAAGCAACCATATGCCTCTGTCACCAAGTCTCCTGATTCAGAGAACTGACCACAGATCTCATATCCCAGGGCTCCCCCACACCCAGCCTCCCCAACCCCTCCCACAGCCCTGCCATGTTCCCACCTGTGGCCTGTATGGCCCTGGCTGTTAGGAGACCAGATCACCGTAATCCCATAGGTATCTGTGTCTTTCTAACTCATCCCGATTTCTCTGTTGTACAGAGAGATAAAGAGAGAGATTGAGGGTGGTGAGGATGTATGAACAAGTACACAGAAAGTGGATAGTTAGAAATACAGGGTCATTGGTGGGAAGTGGGCATCAAGGGAAGAGCAAGAGGTGAGCTAGGATCTAAAGATGTGTATGGGCTGAGAGAAGCGTGTATGCATAAGGAGAGTTATGCAACTGCGGGCATGCATGTGGGCGTGCATGCAAATATTGGTGAGTTTGTGTGGGTAAGGTGGATGCAAGTGGTAGTGGACAAGTGTGGTATGGTGGAGGAGGAGGTGCACACAGTTTTGTGGGTGGATGAACACATGGGAGTAACTACTTCTGTGGCATAAAAATCTACTTTGGCTGACACTGAGTGCTGGTGTGACATCGTTACACAGTTTGGAAGAGATGCACACAATCATCTCTTCCAGACTCTGTGGCTGTGCAGGCTGTTTCCAGTATATGCAGGACATGTGAAAAACGGTGTGTGAGTGTGGGGCAAGTGGGAGAGTGCGGAAGACATAGATGGAAAAACTGGAGTCTAGGTGGATGCATGTGGGTTTGGGGTAAATAAGCAGGTTCAGGTAAGAAGGCAGGGGTAGGTGTGATGTTGTCCCCTCTTCCCTCAGTGATGTGGGTCAGAGTGGGGTAGGAGGTGGGCGAGTGCTGGAAAGTACGCACAGAGAGTCTTCATCTTGCATCCCAGACATTCACACTTGCATGGTTCAGACATCCAGATTTTCTGCCTAGGACCCTCTAGCATGTGGCAACCAGGCCCAGAACCTACTCCCAGAATTCCATGACGGCCGAGGTGAAGTTCTCAGAGTGGGTCACTGTGCTGGCGCCCGAGTGGTTCAGAAAGTCCACACAATGCTCTGTCAGGACAAAGTGGAGTGCATCAGTAAGGCACACAGTGGGGACAGATGCCCTAATATCCTGGTCCTTCTGGCCATATAATCAGAGCTTCCTGCCATCCCTGACCTGCCCACTCAGTTCCCAGTGTCTTCAGTCTACAGACAAGGGCCCAAGTCCATGTGCTGCTCTTCCCTGGCCTTGAATGCTGCCCACACGTGAGCCTTTCTATCCTGTACGCTTCCCTCCCCTTGCTATATAGTTCTGTACTGTGTCTTTCTCCCATGGTGATGGGTACCCATTTTATTGATTTATGTTTCTACTATCAGACTATAAATTCCATGAGGTGAGTCTACAGTGCCCTTGCTCAGCCTTGGCACGGGATGGCACATACTGAGTGCCCAGCAAATATTTTTCAAGTGAATAAATAAGTAGGCAATGACAATGGCCTCAATTGCATAACCCAGTCCCACCAGGTTCCCATATCTACACTAATCCTTCCTGAGACGGGCCCAAGGTTCCACAGGAGGTCAGCCAGAAAGTTCTACCATGTCCTTCATCACATCTGGCCATCACCTGCCACCTGCCACCTGGTTTAGTAGGAGAGATCCCGTCCCGGGGCAGAAGGCATGGGCACCTGTGTTCCAGGTATTGGTACAAGTTGTCCAGGGAAGTTCAGAGGTGAAGGAGCTGAACAGGTAGAAGAGTGCCCAGGCCAGGATGATGATGTAGTAGATGTTCAAAAAGGACTCGATGACCACAGATGCTATACCAATGCCTTGGGGTGAGGGGAGAAAGAGAGTGACATAGCAGAAAAGTTACACAGGCACCAGCTGTGCTGTCTCAGGGGCTACACAAAGAAAGCCACCAGGGTTCATTCATCAATATGAAGCTATTCACAATGTGTTTTTCTAAGTTAAAAAAAAAATGGATTACAGAGCACTATCTTATGCATTTCCCTATTTCTGTAACGTGTTTATGAATATATTTTTTCATGAGAGAAACTCCAGAAGGACCGTCCCCTAAATTACTAAGTAGTTCTCTACGTGATAACATTCCAGTTCACTTTTTCAAGTTTTTTTTGCCTATCTGTATTTTCTGTTTCTATTACAATTATACACTGCTAGTAAAATGAAAAAGGGCAGGCAAACTAAAGCATAAAGAGGAGGAGCAAGGAATCAGGCCAGGGATAAGAAAAAGTAAAAATCCAACAGAAAGGGAGAAACGGGCCTCAGTCGGGAACTGAAGCCCTGGGCTGTGTTAGCACTTAGCACCTAGGCTCTGCTTGGTGGACACATTAGGTTCCCGCAGTGGAAACAAACACACACTGCATAACTGGACTCTTTCCACAGTCGTTTAAGAAGCAGCACGTCAGCTGTGCACAGGGGCACACCTCTGGAATCGCAGTGCTGAGGGAAGCTGAGACAGGAAGACTGCAAGTGTGAGCCCAGCCCAGCCAGGGAACTGAGTGACTGGTGAGACTCTCTCAAAGTCAAAAATAAATTAAAAGGGATGGGGATATAGCTCAGTGCAAAAGCCCTGGGTTCCATCTCCAAAAAGAAAAAAGGTGGGAAGAGGAAGAGCGGGAAGAGGAGGAGGACTGGGGGGTGGAGAGGGTGTGGATGCCAGTGCGAGGGGCTAGGGCCTGCCACCCACCCCCACAGTCCCCTCCCCACCTTGTTTGTACAGAGTGGCAGCAGATGCTGTTCGGTGAAAGACTGGCACCTGAGGGCTGGCAGACGTCAATGCTGACATCACAGCCAAACTGCTGTGCCAGGAGAGCCCACTCGGATGGTCTTTTCTGATTGGACTGGCAAAGGATTCCCTGTAGTGGCCTCGCCCACATTAGGCAGGGGGTGCTGCCGGAAGGGGGTGGCCCTGGGCTGCCATGGGATGGCTGAGGATTCTCTGGGTAGCAGGGGCAGCCTGTGGGATGCTTACAGCACCCAGTGGCACACACGAAGTGGCTGCTGTGCCCCAAGGGCTAAGCCAGACTGGACAGAGCAGTGATCAGCCTGGTAAACACTGGAGCCCAGGCCTGGAGTGAGGGGTGTGACCCCAACAATGCCGGCTGGGCAAGGGGCAGGAAGGTAGAAGTGACCGGGCCCAGAAGCTTATGCAAAGGCAGAATGAGGAGTGAACATGGGGTGGGACATGGGTTTGAGTGGGCCGTCCGGCAGCACTCGGGTGGAGGGCAGCAGGCAAGGCCCGCCAGCCCACACTCCCTGAGTGCCCCTCTCTCGGAGCACCCAGATCCCTAGGCAGCCTGGTCCACTGCCCACTCGCCCACGCCACCCCTATAAGACAATCCATGCATTCTGGAGAGGCCAGCCCGAAGAGCTTACTTGAACCTGGATGTAGCACCCAGCACTGCTGGGTCCTAGCGGAGTACCAGGACACCCTTGCAGCACCCTGAACTCATGAGCAGAGACAGAGTGGGCCAGGCTCCACCTGCCCAGCCCCTCCCCACTCTTCTGCAGGGTTCCCTGGCCTTGTCCTCCCCAGTCCATAGGGTCGCTGGCCTACTAAGGAGCCAGTGTGCCCGTGCCATGCCCCTCTGTTCAGCACAGTCTGGCCACACAGCCTGGGGAACCCCAGATAGCCTGGTTCCTGGGACTTGGCACTGAGAAGAGGGGAGAATCCTCTCTGTGTTTCAAATTTTCAAGAAAGCTCTCAGGTTCATGGGATCCTTGGGCATCTCACTGGCCCCCATGGAACTAGCCCCATCACCTAAAGAGGAATAGAGGAAGAACACCCACCAATTCTATGGGCACATTAGTGCCAATACAGCTAGAAAGGGCATAGTTTAGTCTCCAAGACAGTCTCGAGGAGAAGAGCAAGGTAGACAAAACCTCTGTGAACGACCCTATTTCCCTTACACACAAAATGGCTCAATAGAGTTCCTGAAAGATTGGATGAAAAAACCCAGGTAAGGTGCTTACCTGAGCCTGAGCCAGGCTAGGGCCCCACAGATGCTAGATAGCACCCCAGTTATTGCTCCCACAGCCACACGTTCTGGAGCCCCTGTGGAGCCACACTGTATGCTCACACAGCCCTTCCAAGCTCTGCACCTCCATTCATGTTTGTAACTTCATGTTGTGTTTCCTGGAGCATGCCCTGCTCCCCAGGATTTATGAGCCCTGGACTCCACAAACCCGGCTGTGTAATCAGCACAGGATAAGATAAACCAGCGGGTGAACGGTGAGGAAGAGAGGGACAGAGAAAGGGTCCCTGAGGAGGGTGTCCCCGCGGATGGACGGACGAATGGGGAGGAGGGTACTCACCCTGGAAGAGGGGGCAGATCTTCGTCCAGGCCGTGACGCTCCCCTGGCTGGTGTACTGGCCCAGTGCCACTTCCAAGAAGAACACTGGGATGCCACAGCTGAGGAAAAAGATGAAGTAGGGCACGAAGAAGGCTCCTGTAGACGGGAAGGAGGCCGAGGCTGAGCCACATCGCAGCCCTTTCACCCCAGGCTCTCTAAACCCTCCCACAGCATCTGAATCCTCGCTCTTCCCACAAACCTCCCTCCGCCCCAATGGGCCATGATGCTCAGACCGGACCTGTGTAAGAGGGGCGCGACCTCGGAGTGGACACGGATGAACCCTAAGTGGAAATCCTGGTACATACACTGTTTGTTTTTCAGTGTGCTTTACAAATCCAGTCAATGTACTATTTTTGGAACAAAAACATGTGGTGTGTATAATATTTTGTACTTATTAAATTATCGAGTTTGGTACATTTCAGAGAAAAACAAACAAGCAAAAATCCTTGGAAATAGTCTTTCCCTGCTAGTGATTTTGGAGGTCGTCTCTGGCCTGCAGGGGCTCAGAAATCTATCAGGTGGTCAGGTGCTGCCCTATAGGCACCAGGGGGAGCCAACCCTGGATTACACCACAGGGGTGGAGACACCCCCAGTCCCCAGGGCGCTGGGGTACAGTCACGTGGCATCCACAGAGGCTCACCCATGAGTGAGTACGTTACACACTGCCCTGCTAGAACACTTAGCCCTTACTTGGTGTCACTGTGTGTCACGCCCTCGCCTAATGCCTCACCCACACGAGATCCTCACAAATCAGCCTGGGTAGGCACTATTGTCGGCCCACCTTACACACGAAAAAACTGAGGCCTGTTTAAAGAGGTGAAACCTGAAGCCAAAATGAGGTGAAGGAAGCTCCAACCCAGCTAATCTCCTTCTGAGGCCATGCCCCTCCATGGACGTCACAGTGCCTCTGAAGTAACCCCACTTATTGTGCAGAGAAATGGGAAGTATAGATGAAAAGATAAAGCATGCATATCCTTATTGTGTCTTGAATCCTTGTACATGTTAGGCCACCAGACTCCCCAGTCCCGACTTCTTCTAAGCACGCATATACTTCTTCTTTGCAAAACTGAGGACCTACTATGTATTACCTGATAAGTGTATTTTTAAATTTTATATCATGAACCTCTTCCTATCAATAAATTTATGTCATCATGTTGGTAGCTGCATAGTATTCCATTCCGTGCAATTCTAGTGCATTTCATCAGTGCTTCATCATTAGGTGTCTCAGTTGTTTCATTAGAAATATTGCCACAGTTCCAGGGATGCCCATTGTCCATATTCATCTGCCTTGCCCACAAATTCCCACAGAAGAATTGCTAATCCAAGAAATGTGCGCTTTTTGTTTTGCTCTTCCTTGTATACAGATACATATCTGCCATTCTAAGTTTTTTTAAGTCACTCAGCACACTCACATTGTTGGTGTGGCCACCATCACCACCGCCCACCTCCCCCACCCCAACAGCCAGAGCAGGCAACCACCGCTCCCCTTTCATCTCTGTGGATTGGCCTGTCCTAGGCACCTCACCCAAGTGGTACCATGCAGTATTTAGCCTTTGGTATTTGGCTTATTCTATTTAGCATGTCTTCAAGACTCACCCAGGTCATGACGTGTATCACAATTCCCTGTTGTGGAAGGCTGAACAATGTTCCCATCATACTTTGTTTATGCATTCAGCTATTGACGTCCACCTTTGTGGCATGCACATTTTATTTACTTATTTATTTATTTGGTGTCAGAGATTGAACTCACAATCTTGAGCTTGCCAGGCAGGTGCTTAGGCCATTGAGCTAAATCCCTGGCCCTGGCATGCACATTTTTAAAAGGTCTTTGTTTAGCATTTTCCAATTACCCTCCCAAACCCTTACTCGAACCTGCACTTCCAATAGCTATGCATAAAAAGGGAGCCGTAGCAAGCTCTACCAAGCCTGAAGTCCTCCTTAAGTCCGCCTGTGCCTTTCCAGAGCACTGCTAAACATACGAGCGCTGCTTTGCGGTGCTCGAATGGCCACAGAGCTAGGCTGAGGGTCAATATTCAGGAAAAGAACATGGCTCAGTGTTCAGGAAAAGTACTCCAAAAGGAAACTTTATAGACGACTACAGGCCTCTTCCCACCAGCTGCAGGAGCTCGTGCCCTTTTAAAAAGGAGGCACGGTGCTGTCCTTGGGCTGTGGACTTTTGCCCTGACAGAAGATGGGGAGCCCTGGAGTCCAGGACTGGCCCCCTCCTCGGGGTGGTCCCTTAGGCCTGAACCTTTGTGGGGAGGGAGACTGAAGTCTCTGCACGGAGTGTGCGGTATCCTCCACTGTCAGCTTTCTTCTGTGCTTCCCACAGCAATCCTCACACTTCCTCCCTTAATTAGCTTACGAAACCCTTGCCACAGAGGTGGCCTGATCCGAGCCCTCTGGGGGTCTGCTCAGGACTTGAGTAACCTGACGATGCCCTGCAGGGATCTTTACAGGCAGGCACTTCATGCTCGCTCGTGATTAAAACCTCCCTCTTTTCTGAGCTATGCCTTATGATCCCTGCCAAGTGCCTTTTCCTGCGCCACTAACAGGGTGGATAGTCAGAATTTCATATAGTTCTAGTTTGAGGTAAACCATTTCTTCAGGGTAATCTGGTTTTAAGGCTCCTGTCTTTTTTTAATAACAGATAACTACATTAGATCAATGACCTTATTTTTTCTATGCTTTTGGAATATTTCTCTATAGAACTGTTGATTAACTATTCACACATTAGTAAAAAACATGTTTAATTGCTAATCAGGGCTTATAGTCAGCTTGAGAGCAACCTGATTTTCACTTCAGCCAACAAGCAAAAAATATTGACCTTTGGATTAAGCTATGATGTCATTTTCTTTAGTCCTATTGAAAGGATTTTGGCCCAGATGGGACACTGTAGCTGGTAAAGCCTTGGAGGCGGAACCAAGGGGCTCCACCTTCCCCGCCCCTGGGAATTTACCTGTGGTGCAAAGTGAATACCAATGGGCTACCTGCGCATCACTAATGCCCCTCAGGCACCACCCCAAACTAAGCTACAAGTATGCCCCTACTCCACGTGTCCAATGGAGAGATTGCCAGACCCCAGAGACAATGCTGGACCCTGGTGGGTCGGGGGTCTCTCCCGCATTCTTAAAATAAAGGTTATTTATATTTCATACTTATCTTTTCAGCCGCCCCAGAATTCTATCATATGGTTCCCTGACCGGGAATCCAATTCTATCACTATCACCTCACAGATGATCCAGCTCAGGCACCAGAACCCGAGGCCCCAGCTCCTACCCTCACGCTCTGTCTTCCTGGATGACAGAGTGGCAAGCATCCATAGAGGAGGGACCAGCCGCCTCACTGCAGGCAGCTAGCTCACACCTCCGTGAAAGGAGGGCTGGGACTGGCTAGTCCTTAGCGCTGATCCTAGCATTTTACATGTCCACGACTCTGTATGTGGGGACAAGGAAATAAGCTACCACTCTTTCCTGCCTCCCTAACCTCTGGCCAGTGCCAGTCTCCCCCTCCACTCAGCACCCCCCAAATTCTACAGCTGTTTCTTTGGAGCCACTGGTTCAAGAAGTTTGTAACAGCAACTCTAAGGCTTAAAACACATAGCAAAATACCTACTAGATACTCAGTAAATATTTGTTAAATTAAATATGAATAGGGTGTAAAAGGATTTTCTAAACAATGTGAGTGTTCCTTTTTTTTTAGTCTTCCTGGAATATTTCTGATATTTATAATAAACATACATCGATTCCAAAGGAAGAGTAAAGTTAATTTCAAGGGGTAAACATGAATCTGACCAGTCACAGAGGAAGACAAAGGGAAAGGTTTCTTTAACAGGAAATATCACCAGTAGACAGACCCGTACAGACAGACAGACACAAGTTAACGGCTTCCCAGAGCTGTGGCAGAAGGAAGTGGGAGGGAGAGGTGAGTGCTAGTGGGCACTGAATCTCTAGAACGCTGAAAATGTCCTACCGCGTTGGTGGTGGTTGTACCATTCTGTGAATATACTAAAATCTACTGAATTGTGAAGTTCCAAAAAGGAATGTGACCCTCCGTACCATGATGCTACTAATTTTTACTATTAGGATTACAAAACAATAAAATTATGTTTCTTTCATTTAAAAGAAAAATCATAGACAGTCTATTTCTCCAGTTAGTACTCTTCAGTGACTCAAAACAAAGCCTCGCCTCTCTGAGTTCAGCCTGTCATTTCCTCATTCCACTCCCCACGGGGGGCCTCCTAACAGTTAGTTGCTCAGGTGTGCTGTCGCCCCAGGGCATTTGCCCTTGCTGCTCCCCCATCAGCAATGTTCTTCCTTCCTTTTTCATGTGTAAGACTCACTCTTTCACCCTAGTAAGTCTCTGCTCAGTGTGTGACCTTCCTCAGTAAGAATCTTTTCCAGTCGTCCTATTTCATCTGGCCCCACGACCCCATATCCCTTCCCGCTCCTCCCTCTTTACTTCCCATCCATCCTTCCACTCATCACCGTGTGACACACACATTTTCCTCGTCTGTGGTCTGCCCACCCTCACTAGAATGTAACACACAGAAAAGTCTGCACTGTGTTTAGAACTGTACCTGGCATGTGATAGGCTTGAAATAATAGGAGTTGAATGAATGAATGAATTCTGCCAGCCACTGACATTTATGGAGAATAATAAAGCAGCTTCTTAAAAGCTCTGACTCCTTGGTCCTACCAGTTGCCTCATTTAAACGTCACTGTGAGGGACACTGAGGCTCCACTGAGACCTCCAACTTCGAGACAGACCTCCTTCCGTTTCACCACACTGCCCGGGGTGGGGCCCAGGTGGCACTGCCCAGCTGTCAAGGCACGACTCCCCACCGCTCCTACCTCCAAGTGAACTCACCACCTCCATTTTTGTAGCAGAGATAGGGAAACCTCCAGACATTGCCCAGCCCAATGATCTCCCCGGCCACTGACAGCACAAACTCCATCTTGTTGGTCCATTGGCCCCGATCCTTCACCTGGTCCTTGCTTTCCTGGTCCAGCGTTTCTCCTCCCTCAGGGATCCAGGAGACCGCATCCTTGTGGGCTGCCACTTTCCTGTCCATAGCCCTGCCTCGGACAGTGAGGCCCCACAGGGTAGGACGGGATGGCTTGAGAGGCAAAGCCTGGAGGAGAAAGGGAGCTGTGACCCATGCATGCCTCACCAACCCACCACCTCCACCATCCCTGCCATCCCCGGGCCAGGCTTGGCTCCCAGAAATCACTTGTCCTCTCAAACTTTCCTCTACAGCATTTCCACCTCTCAGAGTCATGAGACAAGTTTGCTGATTCTACAGATGGAAACCTTAGGCCTTGACA